TGGAAGCTACAGAGATGGATTTTTGGAGAAGATCAGCAGGCAAATCAAGACTCGAGCGAATAACTAATGAACGCAGAAGAGAGATTATGGAAGTTAAACATACGATAGTGGACGACATAAAGAACAGTCAACTCATATGGTACGGGCATGTCCAAAGAATGGCAGAAATAAGAATCCCAAAGCAAATTATAAACTGGAAACCTGCAGGAAGAAGAAAACCGGGTAGACCGAGAAGAAGTTGGCAGGAAGGGATTGACACGTTTATGGAGGAAAGATCTCTCGAAGACGGTGTATGGAGGACAGACAGGCATGGAGAGATGGCATCGGAAGACGTAGAACGTTTTAAACCGATTAATATATAGAATGAAACAGACGAATTTCTACGACCCTGTACAGTAAATCAGATTATTAAATAATTAAAACAGATAAAGATTCTATAGAGGGATAGACAATTTTATTTTTTTATCTCTTTAATTAACATGCCAGTCTGTACGACTTTTTAATTTCAATGCAGACTCTTCTACAGGGAGCTCCGTATATTACGCAACCATCATAATAGGATCCTCCTCTTGTTTACAAATAACAAAACACCCAAGCCGTAGGGGTATTATGTTGCAATGGGTGTAACACTATAGCCCATAGGATAGCGATTTGCGGTAGCACACAAACACAATAAACCCCATTTTTACGCTTAATTAGCCATCGGAAGATACGGCCAACAGATAAGACTGCTCGGGCTTTAACAGTTGCCGAAAACCCACAGAAACCACGCCCATTTTTCTGGTAACCCCCTGTACAGGGGTAAGGGGAACGAATATATATTTTAAATAGATCGAAGTGATGGGGATGGAGGTTCGTTTAGTGATGATGTTGATCATGGAAGGTGATCAGTTGGGTAGACATTCGGATTTTAGTATTGATCATATACTTAATCGAGCTGGAAATGGGCCTAAGGGTGAAGATAGTGTAGGGGGTTCCCAGAAGTTTGAATGGATGCAGTGTTCGAGGTATTGTCCACCTAAAGTACCCAGTAAGTACTATTTTAATTAATTTATATTTCTTATGCTAACCATAAATAAAGTCATAACTCGCTTGATTTTTACAATTTTACACTCTACATTTTGTACAGGGTTCGGCAAGAGTGCGTCGGGCATCTGTAGCTCCTAGAATAAAAAACTTGGGAAGTGCAAAACTAAAGATGGCTCAAAAAAGTGTGAGTGAATCGGGATGATTTTCTTTAAATTATCCTATTATAATTGTTATTTCTTTTAGATCACTTTACATAATCCTAAGATATATGAGTAAATATATTTCGAGAGTTTCAGAGATATTAATAATTAAATTAAAAAATATATATTTTTCAGTTTTTAAAAAAAAATATTATTACAAATACAACAATCTGAAGTCATGAAATCAAAACTATATTAGGTATTTACTTTAGATGGTCTATACTTACTTAGCTATAAATATCGTAATCGTAAACCATACAGGGTGTTTAAAATTCTATGCCAAACTTTCTAAAATATAAAATAATTTTTCTTTGTTTTTTTTTAATGGAAAACCCTGTAGATTATTTTTTATTGAATTAAAAAAGGAACGTTTTTTGTGGTTTCGCAGATTTCATATGGCTTTTTCAAAGGTAAAATACATTGGTTGGCTTTGATAAAAATTTACTCTAGAAAATGCCATATGAAATAAAAAACCGCAAATATCTGCGAAACCGTTAAAAATTTTGAAATACTCTAAATACAAAAAATGTTCATTTTTTAATTCCTCCATCTATTGAAAAAATAATATACAGGGTGTTCCATTTTAAAAAAAACGAAGAAAAATTATTTTATATTTTAGAAAGTTTGGCGTAGCATTTTGAACACCCTGTATGATTTCAGATTACGATATTTATAGCAAAGTAGGTATAGACCATCTAAAGTAAATACCTAATATAGTTTTGATTTAAAGACAGTTCTTGTATTTTTAATATTTTTTTTAAAAAAAGTCTGAAAAAAATATATTTTTTATTTATTTATTAATACCTCTTGAACTACTTAAATATATTTACTCATATCTTACGATTATGTAAAGTGATCTGAAAGTAAGCCAAAAATGCAATAATCTACAGGGTGTTCAAGTTAAAAAAAATCATCCAGATCCACTCACACTTTTTTGAGCCACCCTGTAGAAGTTAAAATATTTTCCTGAAATACATCCTAGTACATATTCTAAGTATGCACTAAATTCCCTAGTTTTTTATTCTAGGAGCTACAGATGTCCGACGAATTATTGCCGCACCCTGTATAATAAATTTACAAGAGAACAGTTCCATCGACATCCAGTTCCATATATTCAGTAAAAAATAAAATTATCTATCTAATTATTGGCAATTATTTTTATTATTGTCCCTCGGGCTATAGGCCCCTAATATATAACTACTATTACTAAAACTTATAATACAGGGAGCGCCTTAATGACAAAACTCCCCATTTTACATATAAAATGACAGCAATTATAATTTCATAGCCATAGCTGACACCGTTTTTTTCTTCGATAATATTGTATTTTTAAGTGAAAGTACAATCAATTTTTTTCAGGAGTAATCAGAAAAGAAGGCTTCCAAAAACGCCAACTTGGTCGACATCCAAGAATACCCTTCACTGGCTACCAGCTATCTCTTCTAGAACAAAAATTCAAAGACACCCCTTACCTCAGCAGTGAAGAAGTCACACTACTCTCGACAAAACTGAACTTAGCTGACATCAGAGTGAAAATTTGGTTCCAGAACCGCAGAGCTCGTGAAAGGCGTGAAAAGAACGTCCAATTCAAAGCTGTAAACTCTGATGCTGTCGAGGAAAGAGCCACAGAAACATCGAACAGTTTTACTGGTTGCATACCGAACACTCTCTGTGACGTAGAAAGTGCGAAAAACACTACAGACTTTAGAAACACACCTAGAGGACCGAGTTTTTTGATGAACAGTATTTTGGGTCACGGTGTAGTACCCTATTTCGTGCCTGTGATGGGTTTCGAACCTGGACCATCAAATAAGTCGTAAAAAATGACAGTAGGGTTGTGAAGAGTGCCTTGAATGTAAATAGATTCAATTCCTAGTCTTGTCCTAACATGACACGCTTTTTTGTAAATAAATTAACTTATTACATTATGTTTTAGATGAAAAAAAAAGTTGAAACAAACTGAAGTTTTTTTTACTGTTTTATTAGTACCTATTTTAGTCCATTGATTATATTTTGAAAAAATATATAAAAACAAATATTATTTGCTTCCTACACCTTTAGGTTTATAAGAAAAAAACAGTTCCTTTTTCGTTACTCTGAGGGATTATAAATATTTTTAAATAAAACTATATTATTGTTTCATTGATGTATCCATTTATGACAATTTTTATGAGTTATTATTTAAAAATAAAAAAAAAATATTACAAAAGAAATTAACAAATTAAATGTAAGCACCCTAAAAATGATCTTCCTGTGTTGTCTATTTTCGACGATTTGTTCTTTTTGTCAGTCTGATGAAAACTTACCTTTTTGTCACTCTGAGTGACAACATTTTTTTGTAAATAAAACTACACATAAATTCAACAACACTGGAAATAGTGGAATATATATTTGGGACAAATAATACACAGCTTATTTATGGAATATTTATGGAAGAAACTCAATCATATTCAAATCTAGAATGCATCCTAGAGAAGAAAACATTCGACCAATGTGTACTGCCAGTCATGACCTATACATGCGAAACCTGGACACTTAAAAAGGACATTATAAGGAAACTGCGGATCGCACAATGCTCAGTGGGACGAAATATGCTGGGAATAACCAAGAAAGACCGTAAAAAAACAAAGTGGATAGGACAAAAGGCCTAGGTAATAGATGCCATCCACAGAATCAAATCCCTGAAATAGCAATGGGCAGGACACCTGGCAAGAACTGACAACAGATGATCAACATGGTATCCACGAGGAATTAAGAGACCTAGAAGACCACCAAACTTGAGATGAGACCCTAATATTAGGATATTAGCAGGGATAACTTGGGCCTGCATAGCCAGCAATAGACAACAATGCGCCCAACTACAAAGAGAGTATCTAAATATGTGAGGGAGTCTACACCATAATTGGAAATGGTTGAATAAGCTGAGTGATGATAAATTTAAGTACACAAAGAAGTACCTTTCTGTTTTCTATTTTCTACAATTTTTGTTCTTTTTGTCAGTTTAGTGAAAACTTACCTTTTTGTCACTCTGAGTGACAATATTTTTTGTTGTAAATAAAACTATACATAAGTATTTTAGTAATATCACAAGTCACAAGTAACTGTGCAAGTAATCATATTTCTGGTGTTCAAAATTCACTTCGTTTTGTCCGTCTGAAGAGAACCTACCTTTTTGTAACTTTGAATAAAAATTAGATACATATTTTTTTAAATAAAACCAAACACGTTAAATTTTTCACTGACTGTATATTTTCAGTTTTCATTTTTTCTTTCATTCGGTTATCCTTTACAAATAACAAACAACATTGCAAAAAAGGTCTAACAAACAATTTTTACAGAGTGAATACAGAGAAAAAAGAAACAATACAAAATATATATTTTGATACATTTGTACAAACTCAAAATTTAACAAAAATATATTTTTAACCATGTTCAAAATTTCACGTACATAGTTTTATTTTTTATATAAGAAAAAATAAAACATTGGCAATAAATATATTCATAAATATATAACATTTTTGTGCTTTTATTTGTTTGTCTTTAATATTATATATATTTTTTTTTGAACGTTATACAGAGACAACTATTAATCTTTGGACTATACTGTTTAATTGTTAAAAAGTATTTATTTGTTTATAAGCTAATATAGCATAATATAAGACCCCTTAAGTGTTTTTATTTTTAACAACTTTTTAAACGCTAGAAAAAGAACAAAAATTAATCACAGATTAAATCTAATATAGTAATTATTTGTTTCCTTAAGGTATATAAAGTTAATATTACTTTTTAGGTAACAGTGGAAAGGTCTATAATTTTTTTAAGTACCTACCCAGTAAAAAAGTTTTTTTACAATACTTTAAGGCTCTTTGTTATTTTTCTTTCTCTGTTGCTTGTTTTAGTTAATTTTTATTATTGACTCCCTGCCTTTCCCAACTCCAATCCATTTAACTGTAACATGAAAAAAATATGATATTAGAATATTTATATACAGGGCCGCTTTTATGTATGGAAACGGTCGACTATTAGGTAAAATATCGGAGGTACCGAAAAAAGTTAAATATAAAAATTATAGGGGTTATAAATATCTATTAGCGGGTAATAAATTTAAGTATACAGGGTCGGTCATAAAGTCGTGGCACATCAAAGTTTCATTTTTTTAAATGGAACCCCTTGTATATTATTTCATATTTCGGTTCTTCCTTCAGTTCTAAGCAAAAATCAAAATACACACAATGTACCTCATACCAACCGTTTCCGACTAGGTTTATGTAGATTTTAGGGTCCACTATTAATATACAGGGTGGCGCACCTCATTCGCCTCGGTCGATTACACGAAAACGGAAAGGTGTAGAAATAAAATATTTTATGGGTATATGTGGTGAGGCAATGTGCACAATTTAAAATTATTTTGAAATATACAGGGTGTTTCAGAACTAAGATCCATACCAAAGTTATATTTTTTCTTACGGAACACACGGCATTTTATTTTATTTTTGGATTCTTGGGCCCAAAAAAGGTATTTATTATAAGGGTTGAATATTTTTAAAATCTTTGGTTTTTGAGATATTTAAATTTGCATGCTACAATAGAATAGATTATTAACACCCTGTACATTACTTTTCAGAGTTAATTCTTGTGCTGAGTTTAAAGGTAGAGAAATAAACTTTACAGAAAAATGTTATTGCTTTATTAAATGTATACAGGGGTATCAAAAATTGCTGGTCTATCTTAAATATTTATTTTACATAAAAACTTCATTATTTCAAATGCAACACCCTGTATTTTTTTAAATAAATCGAAGCAGATTCAAATGCTCTTTCAAACTATATTAGGGTTTCCTATACCTATCTGACTCAGATTTTGAATAAAATGCGATTTTGCAATAATTATATAAAATAATTCAATAAAATTGTAATCAAGATGGCTAGAGTCGCCATGGCAAGTTTAAAGTGACAGTGAGTAGCTATTTTCAAAATCGAAATTAGTTTATGGACTTATTTAAATTTGTACCAGTTTACTTTTATTTAATTTACCTACAATAGTTTAATAAATAGTATTTATTAAATATGTGTTTATTATTCTATCAAGAAAAACGAAGAAGTAGTTCTTTGAATTATTTTACGATAACTTGTAGATATATGGATTTTATTTAAAAATCGCTTTTTATTCAAAATCTGAGCTAGATAGGTATAGGAAACCCTAATATAGTTTGAAAGAGCATTTGAATCTGCTTCGAATTATTTAAAAAAATACAGGGTGTTGCATTTGAAATAACGAAGTTTTTCTATAAAATATATCCTTAAAATAGATCAGTAACTTTTGATAGCCCTGTATACATTTAAGGAACCCAAACCATTTTTCAATAAAGTTTATTTCTCTACCTTTAAACTCAGCATAAGAATTAATTCCGAAAAGTAATGTACAGGGTGTTAATAGTATATTCTATTGTAGCATGCAAATTTAAATATCTTTAAATATCTCAAAAACTAAAGATTTCAAACATATTTAACCCTTATAGTAAATGCCTGTTTTTGGGCCCAAGAATGCAAAAATGAAATAAAATACCGGGTGTTCCATAAGAAAAAATATAACTTTGGTATTGGTATCTTAGTTCTGAAATACCCTGTATATTTCAAAATACATACAATCCCTAAAATATTTTGTTTCTACATCTTTCAGCTTTCGTATAATCAACCGAGGCGAATGAGGTGCGCCACCCTGTATATGTCAATAGTTCATTTTTAAAAAATGGGTAAAGCGGTTTTTGCAACTTGACTCTATCCCATATATTTTAGCAAATAAAAACGGCCGTTATAGTAGCCTAGACGACGTTAGGGGATACGTTATCAAGGCTACTGTGACGCAGTTTTTTTTCTAAAAAAACTGTATACGATTTGAAGTTTACTTACTCGGAACCCCAACGCATTCTTCGATTTTATTAATGTAATTTTTGGCATTATCGGGAAGGTCAGCAAAATCCCTGGCATCCTCCGTACTTGACAGCCAACCAGGCATTGTCAAATATTCACACTAAAAAAAGGATTAAATTTAATAAAAATAAAAAAATAAATCACAAAATATAAAATAATAAACATACCTCTACTTTAGATAGGTCAGAAGCTGTGGAAGGCATGTAATTAATCTTCTTACCATTCAATCTGTACCCTACAGCCAATTTTACTATAAAAAATGAAAAAAAAAATCAAAAATGCCATACTATCTAAAAAATGACGTCAAGTGGGCTTAGAAAATTACGGCGATCTCTCCGTTTCCAAGCCCACTCTGACGCTGTTTTTTTGTCGATCGTATAGTACAATTTTTTTTGCCAAAGAGGAATATAAGATTACACAAAGTATATTAAAAAAAATGATTGTACCTTCTTTGAGGGTATCGAGAATGTCTAACTTTGTGACACAGAGAGCGGTATAGCCGTTGATTTTGTTGGTGTACTGTAATAAAAAGACGTCTAACCAACCGCAGCGTCTTTTTCTCTTTGTGGTCACTCCGATTTCTGCTCCTCGTTCTTGCATTAGGTCGCCAATATTCTAAAAAAAAAGAGAGCAATTTGAAGATCTATATATTTAAATTCTGCGATATTAAAAAATAGAGTAATTTTTTCGGTTTTTCCAGTTTGACTTCAAAAATATAACTGTAATAAAGACCTAAAATTCACTACTTACGTCTTTTAGCTCCGTTGGGAAGGGTCCATCGCCGACCCTGGTCGTGTAGGCCTTCACTACGCCAATGACTTCCGTAATCTTCATGGGGGAAATACCCAACCCTGTACAAACTCCGCCTACCGTGCAGTTGGAAGATGTGACGTAAGGATACGTACCTACAGAAAGATAAGGCCTTGATTTTGAAGGTAATCATAACCAGTGTATAAAACAAAAAAACAGTAAAAATATTATTTTGTTTTCACAAAAAAATTCCTATGCGAAAAAAATAAATGAACTGCAATATTTAGAATCCCTGGATAAATAAATGTAAATTTTAAAAACAACGTTTCCCCATTTTATTTTAAAGAAAAAGTTATTTGATTTTTTTTAAAGAATTGAGTAATTTATAAAAAATAAAGCTTTTCCTTACCAAAATCTATATCCAACATGGCGGCGTTTGCCCCCTCCACCAATACCTTGCTGCCCTCTCTTATGGCCTTGTCCAGGAAAGATACAGTGTCGTAGACTAGGGGTTTTATTTTTGAGGCGTATTTTTCATACCTGGCTAATTCGTCATCAATATCAACATGAAGGCTAGGAAACATGCGGGAGTACATGCCAACGAGTGCTGTAAACCTAAGAAAAAATAAATAATAAAGTATAGAGAAAAATCAATTCAGAAAAATTCCGAAAAAAAAATGCGGCGTTGCCGAACTGATAAAAATTTCCTTACTTTTCCCGAAATTTCTCGAAGTCTCCCAAAAGATCGCCGACTCTGATACCGTTCCTGGTAGCTTTGGAGGAATAAGTTGGCCCGATTCCTTTCTTGGTTGTGCCCAATCCCTGGCCTTTCTGATGATTTTCCTGTTCCTGAAGCCCGTCCACAGCTTGATGGAAGTCAAAAACCAGATGCGCCCTGTAAATAATATAGATAAGAAACTGTTTAACACTTATTAGATATACAACTTGAAATATATTTGTTAACAAACGCTTTATTAATTTAAAATTATATAATTATACCTGTCAGAAATAATGAGTCTGTCTTCCCAGTTCCTCAGACCTTTTTTCTCGTTTTTTTCGATCTCGTCGAAAAATTGGGGCAAGTGGATGACTACACCGTTCCCTTTAAACAATAGAACCAGATTTATATAATCTGTTTATTCTGTAACAGTCGTCACACTTCATTTGAACTACTGTATAAACTGTAACAGTGTATTTGAACTACTGTATAAACTGAAAACAGCTGATTTGTACTACGATATATGTTTAACCGTTAACAGATCATTTAAACTACCGTTTCAATGGAACAGTTCGTTTGAACTACTGTATAAGCTGTAACAGTTTATTTGAACTACTGTATAAATTGCAAGCGTTCATTTGAACTACGGTATAAACTTAACAGTTCATTTGAACTACTGCCTAAACTGTGACAGTTCATTTGAACTACTGTATAAACTGAAATAGTTCATTTGAACTACTGTGTAAACTGTAACAGTTCATTTGAACAGTTAAAATATATCGAACCCAGTAGCAGTTCCTCAATAAGTGGACGTATGGAAATTTACATATATGAAAAAAATTACATCTTTTAAAGTAACTTCATTTTTGTTCTTTTTATTTTATTAAAACTGATGATACTAAAGCATATTTTTACCGGAAAAAAATCTATTTATTTCGTCAGTACATTCAGAATTAGTAACTAAACACAAAACTATAAATAGTCTTTTATAACTAACACGCACATGACATAAAGGTTTCTTTTTACTTATTCCTTTAGGCTATTTCCAGTAAAATCATGTCTATATCGCAAAATCTACTTAATAATGTACCTTTCTGTACAAGCTATTAAAGTTACATTTAATACGGCTTAATAATCCCTATATTTAATTTATATTTTTAGATTCTAATAATATACAGAGGGTCCCAAGCCCACCGAGATACTGTATTTTTTATGATTTAATTACACATGTATAGTTTTATTCTTTTTCCCTATACTTGTAGTATAACACAATATTACTTGCCAAATTTCATCGTTCTAGGTCAAAGGAACCTACCCTATAAATTTTGATTCCCTTGAGAGTGACCCCCTAGACGAATTATAGCAAGAACCAAAGAAAAAAATACTTACCAATGACAGATTTGGCGTTTTGTTGAATAATCCCGCTTGGTAACAGATGGAAATCGAATTCAACACCGTCAACCACCACTGTGTGTCCAGCATTGTTGCCACCCTTTAAAAAATCCAAAAAATTAGTACCTATCTGTCAAATTTGACAGTTAAAAAATTAAAGGGCTAAAAAATGAGTTTATTGGTTGAATTTTGAAAAACTTTTTTCTAAAAACTAAATTTAGTTTTAATTTAAAAAAATAAGCTCCTGCTATGGTTATAAATTATTTAAACCCTTTTTTATATTACCAAAACCTTATATTTTTGAACAGATATTATACAGGGGGACGAGATTAGATTATAAAATTGATTGATTAACAAAACATTCATTTTTAAGACACTCTGTATACATAAATAAAATTATTGATTTTTAAAATATTATTCGCAAACCAGGGAGAGGGAAACCATATGACGAACCGGACGAACAGAGATAATAGGTGTTAAGTAATAGCTTTTTTTCTATAGCAACTGTTAAAATTGCCTTATATCTATCAAAAATAGTAGATAAAATAGTACTTTAACAGCAAGGGTAGATTAAATGATACTTTAACAGCGAGGATAGGTTAAAAACTTTATTTCTTCTCGCGCGTTTTTTAATTGCTTCCATTTTTGAAAATTTTTGTATTCCTTTTCATAAGTTATTCGGGACTTAAATGGAAGTAGTTTGGATATGGCGTTTGTCGCCTCAGCCTGAATATCTGTTTGTAATTTACTTATTTCGTTTTGAGCCGTGAGGACAGTTTTTGCTTTATTATTGTTTCTATTTTATTAAAGTTCAGAACAGCATTCCAGTAGTTGGATTCTTTGGAATAGTGATCAAGGTTTTCTCTGCCGTGCTCTTTTACTTGTGAATTCCAGGCAGAGTACGACACTGCTTTCATTTAATAAAATAAGTAGGGCTATTTACAAATTTTGCGCTTGATTTACATAAACCTATTCTCCTCAAATTTTCTAAAATATTGCTTCTGTCGGGCGCATCCGAGGTAATCACAATAAAAAATATTTTTAAACAATGTAGGTTCCTTTATTCAGAAGTGTCTAGCCCTAGCAGGCAACTATTAAGCTTGACCAATCAGGTTGGTTAGCGTGGTTATTTGGAGGGTGTTAATTCATTTGTGTTTGGGAGTCAAAAACTCTAACGTAATCGATCGGGCTTAATAGTTGCCTGCTAGGGCTAGACACAAGTCTTTATTCCATTTAAATTGTTTCTTATACAGTTGGCCAAAATATTACCTCTTCAACTTTGTTTGAACCGACCCTGGGTTCTATACCTAGCTAGGCAGGTATGACGCATCTATTTATGACTTAAGCACCATCTACAGTAACAAAGGAAGACATTCTCAAAACGACGTTCAATCTTAAACACGTCTAGACAAAATGTTTACCTGTCACAATTTTAAATTACTGCAATTAAAAATCATTTTTACTCAATACAAAAATAAATTACAACCTTCCTAAGGCCAATTGGCAGTAAGCCCATTATAAAATATAGTATGGGTCAAGTAAATGACGTATAGGGCTTGACCTCTCCAAAATTATCACCGATTGTCATTCCTCAGCCGTCTGCGACGCCGTTTTTTTTCGATCGTATGGTTTTAAACGTAGAGTTACAAACATAATGTCAAAATGTATCCTTCATAGCCTACTTGTGTAATTGTTGGCAAATATATTTGAAATATAATTGAATTTTATTTTTCTTTAAAAACTATTAATTGATTCAAAAAAATGAAAAATTATGTTGACTTAAATGTTGTGATTTTTATTCATAACTCTGACTGTTCCCTACCACTACTTGTATTTTATTTAAACAAAGTAATGTTTACATAATGCAGAAAATGGAAAATTTCAAAAGCTTAGTGAACTGTAAACAATTTAGTTTTTTTACTGTAATCATGTAACAATACGAAAAAGTTAATAAAATAATTCCATTTAATTTCAACAAATAAAAGTGTTACTATTTTCCACGTCAAAGTAATGTATACAGGGTGTTACTGGAAAATTTGAAATAAAAATGTGAAACTTATTTTTATCTGAATAATATACTTACAGGGTGGTCCAAACTGTATTCCGGAAACTTTAGCAGCATATTCTGCAGGTAAAAATAAGTAAAAAAGTTCGTATAAATGTATGCCCTAAAATGATTAGTTTCGGAGATACAGGGGTATGTGTAGATAGTTATTTGACTGAAATTATAAATTTGGGATTTTTTTTTAAATTAATCATAAATTTTTCTGCAGAAAAATGATATATTTAGTCTATTTAGTCCACATGCTTAATTTATGTCAATGATGACAGGTTTTGATAATTTCGATTCCAAATATGTCGAGAACCATTACTCGTAGCGATTTTTACAAAGAGACCTTATTTACATAGAAAACGTCGTAAATGTATATTTTTTACTCAGTAGTTTTATACAGGTACAGACAAAAAGTTATTACTCTTCAAACCAGTTAAAAACTGTGTAGGTGGCGCTCTATACAAATGGGAGTCATATTGACATCAAAATCAAATTTCTCACGTCAAAAAACTCCCAGACACCAATTTTCATGCAAATATTGACGTTACTTTAGAAATTATTTGGAAAAAAATCGAAATAAAAATGAAACTTCTACACCCTGTATCTCTGAAAATAATAATTTTAGGATATACATTTATATGAACTTTTTTACTTATTTTTATCAGTAAAATATGCTGCCGAAGTTTCCTGAATACAGTTCGGACCACCCTGTATATGCTGCCAAAGTTTCCCGAATACAATTCGAACCACCCTGTATTTTAGACAAATATAAACAAATATCAAAAGCTAGGTATGGAGAGAAAAAAATACTAAAAATATCACAAGTTATATACACAGGCATCACGTGAGCTATGAAATAGAAATAAAACAACAAAATGCCAAGTTCACGCGAAAAAATTCAAAGAAAACAAATAACAAAAGGCTCTTAATTCGTTTCTGTTAAAAATGAATGGGTGATTTTTACGCAAAATTAAGTTGGAATGTTGATATCGGATATTATACAAAAAGTAGGACGCTTATAATGCAAAAATAAAAGCATTTCCTTGCAATTTACGATTAAAAATACTTGCTAAAAATAATGCTTGGTCATGTGCTTTCGAAAATACATCGCAACCTGCCAGGAAACACCGAAATTTAAGTGAAAATCAACCCGTAATATTTCCATTGCGTAACCACTCAAAATCAAACAAAAACAACGCTTTTTTCCAGGCTAAAATCAGAAAATAAACTTACTTGACACCGGCACACTACGTCCACGGAACTGGCCAAAAGATCGACCACTTTTCCCTTTCCTTCGTCGCCCCATTGTGCCCCTAGGACTACGGTCACGTCGCTTTTTTGGGGCTCCGTGCGGGCCTTCTTCCTCGGTGATTCAGCCATGGGTAAAATTGGGGACCCCACGAAATGGTGGAGGGTTGAAATAGGTCCGACAATGAGAACACTTCGAGACAGACTGCGCTAAAAAAATGTGATCGACGCCATTTTTAGGATCTGCGGGCAGATGAGTTGCGACGTTGCCGGTTTCGATTTATTTTAAAATGATTATGAAAAATCTGAAAAATATAGTTCTTTTTATTGTTTTAGGTCATGAAATTACGAGACGAAGCATAGATTTAAAGAGAATAATAGACTTATAAATATTTAACAACTTCAAGTACAAATAACTGGCAAAAATTACGTGCGAAAAGCTGTAATAAAAAGAAAACGCGCTCTTTGGCAACATTGAGCAATAGTGCATTTAATTTATTTTCCAAAAATTTCCAAATAATTTAAAGAATATACCTAGTAATAAAAGAAAATTATAGCTAGAGCTTTAGTTTATAAGTTTCTTCATGAATTTCAGTCAGCTTTCAGTTTTCGGAAAAATATTTTTGAAAAAGTATATCTGGTTGCCTAAATTATAATTTTGTAATTTATTTTTTTGGCACAAATTAACAAAAAACATGTTCAAATTTATATGTAATTTACGAAAATAATCTTTTATTATAAAATTACATAAAATCTAGGTATATTTAAAGGCATTTAAATTAATTATATTTTATTTGGTTAACGGTGAACTTGTAAAAAATCTCTATAGAGGGCAGTACAAAAAATATAGGTCACATCTGTCATCTGTCAAACATCTGATTTTTGAAAACAATTTTGAGATCACAACAAATAAAAAGCTATTTTCAACCCTTCAAAACACATAAAAAGCATGTAAGTTATCGATTTATTTTAATATCACACCCGAATAACAAAAGAACTTATTAAAGTTTCTAGATACCATCAAAAAACCTTCGAACCTTTATCCTTCTTTCTAGGCCTTGCGCCAACTTTATTTAATTCATCTTAAAATCATTATTAAAGCTATATAAATAGATATTACATCATCGAAAACATATTTATTCTTGATTCTTGCTTTTTCCCCACTTATTTTCCACACAAATACTATAAATCGTGGATAAGTGCGTTTCATAGTAAAAAAATATTTGTTGACTGTGTTTGTAGTGTTAACTTTTTGATTTTTACAGCTTTTTGAAGTCAGTCTACAACTATGACTGAGCCTATTGTTAACCCGGTAAGTTTTTTGATTATTTTATTCTACAATTACTGTATATAATTCTTAAAAACTTTATTTTCAGGAGTTGCCTTTTGTAGGTGATATTCCCGAAGGCCTACAACCGGGAAGGTTGATTCGTATACAGGGTATTACCCATCCAAATAGTGATAGATTTAACATTAATCTTGCCACTGGTTCTAATATTAAGCCAAGAGATGATACAGCATTGCATGTGTCTGTCAGATTAAATCAAGGTAATTAATTCTAAATTACATGACATCTTAATTTAAAATAAATAATTACCAAATTAAATCTTATATCATCATCATAGATATAAATAATTATTTTTAATAATAGCTTATGTAGATACTTAGTCATTTTGATTAACGTTACAGGGTGTCTGTTAAATAAATGCCAGTATTTTAAATGTTAGTTCCAATTTTAATGTTGAACATTTTGTATTTTCTTAAAAATTTCCGGGAAATTTATAGGTATTTAAAAGAGCTTTAAAAACTCTTCATATTCCTTCAACTTCACAAAAGATTCCAGATCTTGTGAAAAATCACCAAATTTCGTGTGTTTTACGTATTTTATAATTAGAACATTTTTAAAGACTTATTTCTGGTAATTTTTGGACACCAATGTATTTTGAATAAAATTTTTATTAAATAAAAAAACACGTTTAAAAATGTGATAGTGCAGTATTATCTATGTATCTATTAATTTTTTGTTAAAAGTTAAAATCTTTTGAATTGCAGACTTTTTGACAGCCACATTGTTTCAAACAAGTATCCTTAATTAAACACCGTTAAAGTGAAAAAGTAGATGTAGGAACCCGAATAAATTCTCCTACTACATATTTTAACAATTTTTATTGTGCATAACTGCCACAAACCTTCATATTGTCTTCTTTTTGGATAAAAATCCTTCAATTCTGGCAACACTGGCCGCAGGTGTTTTCTCTTGACAATTTCATTCATGACATGATTGAAGCCCTGCATTGTTGCCACCTCCTATGCAGAGAAGACCAGGCTACTAGTTACATAGCAAGTTGCCGGACGAATTTACGTTTACCCGATTTGCGTTCGTACTTCACTGCCGATGCCGACTAGTCGGCTGGTCAGGCAGTACGCAGTTGCAGTTGTGCTTGGACGGGTCGGTCGTGACAGACTAGGAATACGACGCGAGGAGTGCCGAGCATTTATTATTTTCATTTTAAGTGTTTACCTTCAAAAACTAAAATATTACTCTAAATAAAAAAAAATTATAACAAGTGTTCAAAAAGACCACCTTCTTGTGCTAGACAGAAGCCTAGGCGGTGGTAAAATCCCCGTCTGACATTGGCTAACATATTAGGGCTAATAGTTTGGAAAGCCTCTCGTATTTTTACTTGAAGCTCATCCAGATTATTAGCCCTATTATGACCATACACTTTGGATTTTACATAACCCCACAAAAAGAAATCATTGGGAGAAAGATCTTGTGATCTAGCGGGCCACAAAATAGTTCCATATCCGCTAATTAAACGGTTGGGAAAAGTATTGTTCAAATATTCTTGAACAATACAGGCATTGTGGACAGGGCAACCATCTTGTTGAAACCAGACATTGTGGAATCTTTATCCCAATAACTCACGAATTCTAGGGAGAATCTGCAACAGTTAAATTACCCTCTATAAAAAATGGACCAATCATATGCTCCCCTACAAAACCACCCCAAACACTTGCTTTAACTCCTGTTCTTTTGTTTGTATATCCCGATAAGACCTATTTTGGAAATACCATTTTACAATTTACAATTTGAATTTTCTCACGAACTTCGTAAACATCCATTATTTTACTTAAAAAATAAATTTTACACTAGAGCTGTAGCGAGAATCTGTGTATTCGTTTTGGCTATTAAAACACGAATAAATACAAATTCTGTTCACATTTTCTACCTATTAACTACCGGCGAACGGGCATACGCTAATTCCTCCGGTTCTGCCTATGTTACTATTACGGTGGTCCGGTCTGTATATCCCATATTCTGTATATTTGTGTTTTTATAAGTACTGTATTATTAATTTTCCATATAAAACCCATTAATAATTTTAGAAAAAGCACTGGACTTATTTTACTGTTATTTTCCACTAAATTGAAAGCATAATAATCTAAAACAATTATTGCAGATTTTCTAAATGAAGTATTTTCAATTACGCTAAGCGGAGACTTTGTTGTACATGTGGCAACACAGGGCGTCGAATAATCTAAGATCCGGCGGTTCTCAAAATGTTCCCACTTTCTAAAAATTTGAAAACTAAATAACTCGGTTATTTTCAAAATTATCTAAAAAAGACAAATAGAAATTATGTTTCTTTAATCCAGACCTTCAACACCACTCTATATTTTAGGTTATATTGCTAGAAATAGTTACCAAGACCAGTCATGGGACAAAGAAGAGGGCAAAGGCAAGTTACCCATTGGTCCAGCTCAAAGTTTTGAAATTCTGCTTTTAGTAGATCCACATCGCTATAAAGTAATGTTTTTTTTTAAATAACTTACGAATAAATGCATATTTATTGTTAATATTACCTTAGATCGCAATAAATGGTCAGCATTTTGCCGAATTTGACCACAGGATCCCTTTCGAGAAGGTCACCCACTTGGTGATCGATGGTGATGTTTCTATAACACTCATTTCATATGAGGGTATTGTTTTGGGTGCTGAGAATGCCACAAGCTCTGCGCCTTTGAATGCGGAACAACCTCCACAGTATGGGCCTCCTCCTGGTAACTATGGACCTCCTCCAGCTGGGAATTATGGTCCACCTCCTCCTAATTATGGAGGTTATGGAGCACCACCACCTCCTCCAGGGGTAAGTTTGTTTGAGTCTCAGAGATATAAGTAAACGTAGAGGAGCTATAAAATGTTAGTTTATAGTTTATACCAAATAGACTTTTACGGCCGTATTCATAGTCGAGCGCCAGCCGCCCGCCGAAAAGAAGCGCTCGCCGAAGATTTCTCCGGCGAGCGCTTCGATATCAGGAGAGAAAAAAAGCTCTTTCATAGTCGGCCGCCAGCGCACCGCTGGCTGGCGAAAATGACGGTGCGTCGCCGACAAAATTTCACTTCGGGTGGAGGGTTTTAACAACAGGGAACATGTTTTCTTCCTTTTTCTACACAAAATCGGTTATACGAACTTTAACATTCTCTAAATATTTAAATATTAATAATTTAAATATTTTATTGATATTGGGTAATTTAAATATTTTATTGATGTGTCCATTATTTTGTTATAATTCGTTTTAAAGTAATGAATAATATCTTCGTAATCCTTCACTTATAGTAAAAAGATTTACAATTTTTTATATACATATTTTTTTGGCTAGGTATATTTTTGGGTTATAATAAAAAGGATATTAAGTTAATAATTTACATAATGGGGAATTCCATAGGTCTGTTCGGTTTTATTTGAAAGTTTTATGGATTCGTTTTTATTACGTTTATAAATTTTTATAGACCTTAACCTTAACCTATTGGTGCTGTGTTAAGGATTTTAAAATTATTTTAAGGGAAAATATGACCAGAGTAGAAGTAATTTATATTTTTAAATTGGCTCTATTTTTGTTTTGTGTAGATGACTGATGTTTGGTGAATTTGGTATATTTTTTTCCAGTTTGTGTAAATTACAAAGAGAATTAATGTAATAAACGTAAAAACAATAAGAAAAATAAAAATCATAAACATAACAAAACAAAAACGATAAAACATTTAAATGGTCAAATAGACGGACGGAATTCATATGCCTCAAATATAATGAATAATGCAGATAAAAAAATCGTGGGTGTTTGGGAAGGCTTGAAAGGAAACATTGTTTTTGCGACGTTTCGCGACTTTATTGTCGCTTCTTCAGGCACCAAAACATATATTAATCCACATTATACCATATGTTTTGGTGCCTGAAGAAGCGACAATAAAGTCGCGAAACGTCGCAAAAACATTGTTTCCCTTTCAAGCTTTTCCAAACACCCACGATTTTTTTATCTGCATATTAACTACTGGGAACTAACAATAATCGTAATGAATAATGGCCTCAAAAATACGAATGTCATCGTTCTCGTTAATCGTCACAATATTATAAATATCCATAATTAATTCAGTTTGCTTGGTGCTTCTTTCAACTAGAGAAATAAACCAGACTAAACTGGCGGACCGCCCGGAGATGGTAAGGACATGCTCCAGTCGCCGCCCGAAAATCACCGGATGGGGTTTAAACTGCGCAAGTGTTCTTCGCCTGGAGATCGACTATGAAACGGAAAAAAAATGCTTATCCAACCGCCCGCCGGCGAGAGAGCGGTTACTCTATATGACGGATGTGCGCACGCGTTACTCGGAGAGCGCTCGACTCTGAAATAAGAACGAAGAATTTCGGGAAAGCTCCCGCCAGCGGGAGGCTAGCGATCGACTATGAATGCGGCCGTAAGACTTCGCTGTCCGTCCGTCGGTCGGTCTGGCACGAAGGTCTATCTTATGAACCGTTATAGCTAGACAGTTGAAATTTTTACAGATAATGTATCTATGTTGCCGCTATAAGAACAAATACTAAAAACAGAATTAAATAAATGTTTATAAATAAAAATGTACTTTCACTAAACATTATCTTTTAAGTAAGAATTTTATATAGAATTTTTCAAGTCCTCGGTGGGCCGCGCGGTTAAAGCTGCTATGACGTTGGAGCCGTAGTAAGGCAGGTTCGAATCCTAGTCAAAGCGACTTTTTTTTAATCTTTTTTTTTACTTTTTACATATTTATTATTGATTAATACAATTTTTAGTAATGTGTTTCTTCATTTTTTTTAAATATTACTTATACGCGCATTCAAAATTTCAGCTAAATCGGAAAAAAGTTTATAATAATATAGTGTCTAATGTTGTATAGATAATGAATGCTACGGAACCCTTCGTGCGCGAGTCCGACTCGCACTTGACCAATTTTTATATTTTCTTTTTACTAGGCTGAGCCTCAGTCACAATTCGGGGGCTTCCTAGAACAGGCCCAGGACATCTTAGCCGGGGCTATCAAAAGTGGGGCTGCCGAAAAACTATTGGGGAGTATTTTACATTCAGGAGGGGGACAGCAAGCTCCACAACAAGCTGGCTACCAACACCAAAATGCGGTAAGTTTTTTTTTAAATTTTTCATACATGTTGCTGTTCATTGTGTGTTAAATAAAACCATAATAGAAACTTTTTTCAAACGTCATAAAAGTATTAATTTTTGCGATGTGGTTGACAATATTTAAGCCCAAGCATAAAAGTACGAAAATATATTATTAAACTGACATAAATTGGGAAATTCAACGAGTGTAACAATAGTTTCTCGATATACAGGGTGGTCCGAACTGTATTCCGGAAACTTCGGCAGCATATTCTACAGATAAAAATAAGTAAAAAAGTTCGTATAAATGTATGTCCTAAAATGCCTAGTTTCGGAGATACAGGGTGTAGACATTTCATTTTTATTTCGATTTTTTCCAAATAATTTATGAAGCAACGTCAATATTTAGATGAAAATTGGTGGATGGGTGTTTTTTGACATGGGAAATTTTATTTTGATGTCAATATGACTCCCATTTGTAGGTGGCGCCACCTACATGTGTTTTAACTGTTTTGAAGAGTAATAACTTTTCGTCTGTACCTGTATAAAACTACCGAGTAAAAAAATATACATTTACGACTTTTTTTTACATAAAAAAGGTCTCTTGATAAAAATCGCTGCAAGTAATGGTTCTCGAGATATTTGGAATGGAAATTATCAATACCTGTCATCATTGACATAAATCAAACATGTTGACTAAATAGTTATTAGACTGAAATCATAAATATGAAATCTTTTTGAATCGTCAAACAGAACTGTCAAGGATCCCCACCCTAGAGTGCTTTTTCCGCCCACCATGCATGAATACATGGATAGCATTATGCTCTTTCCTTAGTCTTCTTATTCAAAGGTTAAAACACATGCAGGTGGCGCTCCCTACAAATAGGAGTAATTTTGACATCAAAATCAAATTTCTCGTATCACAAAACTCCCAGACACCAATTTTCATCTAAATATTGACGTTACTTCAGAAATTATTTGGAAAAAAATAGAAATAAAAATGAAACTTCTACACCCTGTATCTCCGAAACTAAGCATTTTAGGACATACATTTATACGAACTTTTTTACTTATTTTTATCTGTAGAATATTTCCGGAATACAGTTCGGACCACCCTGTATAATTACTTACAAGGTATTACTTTTAATTTTTTTTTATATTATTTGCAACGGTTTGAAATTGTTTAAAAAATCATTTGTGCCGTTTGAAAAAAAATTGCATGTTCTTCTCAGAGTAAAAATGACTTTTTGTGCCTCGCCTGTAACGTCAAACGTACAGATTCGCCACAAAAAGTGTCATTTTTACTCCTAATAAAACGATATACTATTATTTTTAAAATATATGCCTAAAATATTTTATCATTCAGACAGAATTAATAATGATTTTTTTAAAATATTTTATTAGATAAATCTAACTGACAGTTTATTTTTTTGTATTTACTTTTCTTTGTGCCTTAAGCGTCGTCTGCACGTAACGATGTGCCTGTCAGTCAAAAACGAATGAATGAATATTGTACAATATGGACTTTTTTCTGCTTTTTTAAATTGTTTTTGGTGTTCTGATAGTCAAAATTTTTCAAAAATTTTAAATGAACAGTCATCAGTGTCGATGTTGATTTTTTAATAAACTTCGTTGATGTTGTCAGTGTCTTAAGGTATGTGTGTCTAACTTATTTTTAATAGTTTTTTTTTGCATGATTTTTTTTGTATCTGTTTTGGTGTATTTTTTTTAATTCACTTTTTTTACTTTAAACTAATATTTGGTTTAATCGTATAATAAGACTGCAATTAAGTTATTTTATTGTAAAAATATAAATCTACTCAAAATTATAGTTTTTCAGCCATGAAATATTGTTTTTTTTATAAAGGATTTTTACTAAGAAATATACTAAAACCATATTTGCTGCTTATTTTTTATTATATAGGGTGTCTCTTAAATAAGTGCAACTTTTTAAGGGTTGGTAGCTCACGACAAAAGAAACATATTTTCTATTTTATCATTTTTAAAATAAATTGAAAATGACCGAGTTATTTGAAACTTTAAAAAAGTAAAGCTTACATTTTGAGAACCGCTGACATCAGTAGGTTGTCAGCTTATTCGACGTCCAGTGTTGCCACATGGACAAGAAAGTATATGCCTAACTTGACTGAAAATAATTCGTATTATCGCTTGAAAAGAATATGTAATAATTGTTAAGATTTATCCTTTCAGTTTTTGAAAATAACTGTAAAAATGTATTAGTATGTGTTAAAAAATAAGCACAATGCCTTTTTCTAGAATTATTTTTGTATTGCCACTGATATAATTCAAATTAATTTTCTTAATTTATTGTGGAAGAAAACTGAAATTACTGTGAACTTATAAACACACAATAATATTATGCAGAATGCGGCTAATGTAGGAGGTGGCAACATTGCAAGGCTTTGATACACAATAAAGAAATTTCAAGAAAATAAACCTGCAGTACTAAAAAGTGATTTCAAGAAAAATATAAAATTTTCAACATTTTTTTGCAAAAAGGCATGTTTCTAGACCCATAATACACTACCTATACACTTATTTAACATACACCCTGTATATTTGTAATAATAATTTAGGATTAATGTTACATGATGTCGCTTTTATCAATAACAACCCGAGGTGATTGTTTATTTAAGACAAATCTCCACGAAATTTTTTCATTAACATCTCAAACAAAATCCTGTTCCCAGAGGTACGGTATCTATCCAGATCTCCCCACCCAAGACACTTCCAGACCCCAGTCGGTCAATAACCCTCAAGATTCTTCCTTGAGCAGCCTCATTAACGAATCTGGAGGCACCATTACCTCCGGACCTCAACCGGGACCTCCTGGAGGTCCTCAATATCAACCTGGAGCATCTCAAAACCAGCCTGGGCCTGTTGAAGGGCTATTAAGCAGTTTTCTGGGAGGTCAGAATCCTCCTAGAGGACCTGAGGGGGCTCAAAGTGGTCAATCTGGCAGTTCTGAACTTTTATCGGGCATATTGTCCAGTCTTCTGAGCGGAGGGGGTCAGAATCAACAGCCTACACCTCAGGCAACCCCTCAAAGTCAAAACGCAGGTGGAGATATGCTATCGGGAATTTTGCAGAGCTTGATGAGTGGTAATAAAGACCCTCAAGGACAACAACCTTCTCAGAATCCACAAACTAACCAACAGGGAGGCTCAGACGTTCTTTCTGGCATCCTTTCCAGTCTAGTGAGTTCAAATCCTGATCAAAATCGACCAGCGTCTCAGTCTTATAATCCTCAAGCTTCCTCGCAGTCTCAGAGCCAACAAAATGACGTTTTGAGCAGTTTATTACAGAGTTTGACTCAAGGAGGTAATAAACAGGATCCTACAAATGTGAATACTCAGAATCCCTCTCAGAATAACACAGAATTGATAACAAATATGTTGCAAGGTTTATTGAGTAGGGCTGGGGATCAGCACAATTCAACAAGGCCTGTGCAAGAAAATACGGGTTATTCAGGATCAGAAGGGCCAAACCAAGCTGGAGCACCTGCGCAGGGTCCTCAAGTAAGTTGACTTAACCCTCTCTAGCACAGTGGCGTAGCTAGATAACCAAGGACCTTATCTGAACTTTTTATTATCAATGCTTCTTGATATGATTGATGTCCTGTTGAAATATATTAATATTTATAGCCAGAAAGTGTGAGATCGTAGCCCTCTGATAGCTACGCCACTGCTCTGAGTGCTCTGATATGTTCCTCAATCTACTTAGCTGTAGTTCAAAGTAAATATTAGTAATTTGAAAATAGAAATAATTATTTTTTCTTGTAGTATCAGTTAATAACTTAAATTTATACTTATAAACTTGATCCCTATCACCACAGATATCATATTTAAATAAACAGTCACCACAAACATTTTTTTCAATATAGCACCCTTAAATTTATAGGTTATGTGTTGATATAAACATATTTTTAAGGCTTTTTAACACTGGCTGAGCTTTTTTTAACACATTTCTAATTCTGCTGTAAGAAATATATGAATAATATTAAGAAAAGACGACTAGGTTATGTTATCTCCCTGTACATACATTCTCTAATATCTGCCTTTTGCCTCTAAATCATTAAAAACCAACCAATTAATTGGTGTTATTTCACGACCTTATATCGAAGGTACTTAGGGTTGAAATTAAACAAGCAAAAATCCTTAGGACTCAGTGTAATACTGGTTGCATATAACTGAATTTTTTCTAGCAATATGGTCAGTATCCTCATCCTCCTCAACAGGAACAAAGAGGCCCAGTCGAGTCTCTTTTGTCCGGCTTGCTATCTGGTGGAGGAGGTCAACAACATCAGGTCAGTCTTAAAAAAACTTATTTTATATTGTTTTTTGGTGTATATTGTGGCAAATATTTGTACATGGTTCTTATACCGTATGATCGAAAAGAAATGGCGTCCAGTTGGCTGGGAAATGACGATCAATGACATTTCCCATATAAATTTACATATAAAATGACAGTGATCTTCATTTCATAGCCATCGTTGACGCCGTTTTTTCTCGATCATACGGTATAATCTTTAATTTTTGTATAGCAACAACCTCATGTACCACAAGTTGGAGGTGAAGGTTCAGTGGGAGGTCTAGGCAGTATGGGAGGTCTACTGGGTTCTTTGGCGGGTTCATTGTTCCATAAACAGGTACATAACAGTTTCTTTATCTCTGAGAAATAAGTTTTTTACAGTTTCAGTAAATAAAATATATACGTATAGGGAAACTAAAATAACTTTAGTTGCACATCATAATACCACCACCAGCAATCTCCATAAGACGCATGGTGTCATTGATGACGTGCACCGAAAGTTGTTTTAATTTCCCTTTATAGATAATTTCTATTTAAATATAGAAATTTCACAATATCGATATTTTTAGACATTCCTAAGATTATCTCCTTATTTCTGTGCGTATTGATGGTTTTAATTTAAATATCGATATTTCATAGTATCGATTTTTTTTCTATCGATATTTTTAGAGAGTTGTTTTCTTTAATTCTATACATACATATGTATGTATGTATAGATGGTTCCAATTTAAAAAATATCGATATTTTTAGTATCGATATTTTTTATATCGTTATATTTAGACATCCCTAATATATTATATATTCTGAGATTTAGTTATTACTGCCAGTTATAGTATTTTTTTTTTATTTCAGGACCCTCATCACTAAAAATTATTTTAGAAAACTTTCTTAAAACTCCTACACGTAATTCAAAAATAAAATTTTAAAAAATGTTGTGGTGCTCTAAAAATGCTTCTCGAAAAAAAATAGCCAGTGCTAAGTATATTTTTAGTTAATTTTGTTACTAATAATCGATTTTTTTTTGTTTCTTAAAGATATAGTTCAAAGAACATATTGTTATAATATTTTTGTACTCTCTATTTTTTATAGTATTTTTTATTTGTTTCTTTGTACAAATCTTTGTTGCTTTTATTTTCTATCTGATATTGTGACTGTAGAATCTCAATTTTTCACTCTTTTATAAATTTTCTATTGTTTTATTTTGTTAAAGTTCAGTACGGTGAAGTTAATTATTATTAAAAAAATGTATACCTCAATTATTATCGCACAAAGCTTTAAAAATAAATAAACTATTATTTTAACTATTTGTTTCCTTTATAGTTGACCTACCGAATGAAATCTTTAATATGGTTTCAATTTAAATATCTACACTTTATAGTATCGATATTTTTTCTGTCGATATTTTCGGACATCTGTAAGATTTATTTTTTTATTTGATTCTGTATGCATAGATGGTTTCAATTAAATCATTGAAATATCAATACTTTTACTATCGATATTTTTTTGTCTATCGATCTTTTTAAACATCCCTATGATTGACTTTTTAATAGATTCTGTATGTGCAGGTGATTTCAATTTAAATATCGAAATTTCAAAAAGTCAATATTACAGTATCGATATTTTTTCTATCGATATTGTAGACATCCCTAAGATTTATTTCTTCATTTAATTTGAGATAGTTTCACTATTCAAACTATCGATCTTTTTAGATACCTACCACTAAAATTTCCATTTTTTTTATTTGATTCCGTAAATTTTTGTAAATTTCAAAATATCGATATTTTATAACATTACTACCTGCAAGCAGGTAAAATGTAGATAAAACAGGATTTAAATAAAGCAGACGAGCTTTTTCTTAATAACTTTTATTCTTAATAATTATTCTCTTAAAAAGAAAAAAAAAATAAACCTATGAATTAAAATTAACAAATATGGGATATATAAAATCAAAGACAGAAAACTTAAGGCTCTAAATAAACATATAATTTTGGCATTTAAATAAAATCCCAAAGATACACTACAAATCTAAAAATCACGTATTTTTAATTTTATTTTTACTAACTAAATACAAGATATATAATTTTAAAAGTTTGTTTGTTGTTGGCAATTTATTAATAAGAGTTTTTTTTCTTGATTCGGTTTTATCACTATATTCGCGCACCACACTACTTCTAGGGAATCAGATATGAAGTAACACATACACTTTTATAATACATTTCAAGACAGAGCTAAAAATATGTAACAAAACATAAATATGAATTTTTGTAATAATTCAAGACATCATTTCCTGGCTTAACTCTGTATAACCACCAATTATAAATGAAAACCATATTTTGATGTATTTATTGAGGTTTTTTAAGGTTATTACATGCACTTGTCAAGGCTCTGTCATAAACATAAATAAAAACATATAAATAAAAAATATATAAACCTAAAATGTACAGTATCGGACAAAATTAGAATAGAATTGAAATAGGTATAGTCTGCGAAATATTATAGTATTTCAACATAAAAAAAAATGACAGGAGAATCGAAATACGTTTTGATTAAAATGACAAACAACGATTGTCACTGTCATATCCTTCCGCTGGACTAGACTATAGATTGCAATGTCCCTAGATTATAATTTACAGCAAAAAAAGAAATGATGCATTTTAAAAATAATAATTTTCCTACTAATATAGGAAGGCTTGCCGCAAAATTACAATATTGTTTCGAAATATCGATTTTTTATCGATATCTTTTATATCGATATTTTCAAACATGCCCAATTATTATATTTAGTTTTATTCTATACATATTCGACAAATTCTGTACAGTTTCTATAAGATTTTTTCTTCATTTGATTCTGTATGTATAGGTGATTTCAATTAAAATATCGAAATATCAATATTTTTTACTATCGATATTTTTTCTAATGATCTTTTTAGGCATCTCTATGATTTATTTCTTATTTGCTTCAGTACTTAAAGGTGGTTTCAATTTAAATATCGATATTTTTGGACATCCTTAAGATTTTTTTTATTTCATTCCATACATATCTCTAGATGGTTTTAATTTAAAAATCGAAATTTTGAAATATCGATACTTACTAGTATCGATATCTTTTTTCTATCGATCTTTTTAGACATCCGTAATTTGTCCTATTTCTGATCCTGTACGTATAGATAATTTCAATTTCAAAATATCGATATTTTTAGACGTCCTTAAGAGATTTTTTTATTTAATTCTGCACATACCGGGTGCGTCTCGAAAGGGGCTCACCCCTATAACTTTTTTATTTTTTCAGACAAAATAACGAGACTTGGTACGTTAGTATATGACATAAATCAGGATTGATTGGTGTATTCACTTGTTTTTGGTCAATTCCTGTTTCACCGGAAATGACTACAACTTTTGATTTTTAAATGGCACCCTCGGTATTTTTCTACTTTATTCGATAGAAAATGTCATTCTCAATAGAATGACATATCATATGTCAACTTTTAACATTCTCGCTTAATCAAAAATTGTATTTTAAATTTCAATCTAGAGTGCCATGGCTATGTTAAAAACACTAATTCTTAATCAAGGAGCCTTGAAAAAATAGATTTGATCGTCTAATGTTTTTACTGTCTTGTCCTGACACTAAAAAAACTGTCCTGACGTTAAAAAATGCTCAAATCGTATTGTTAATCATATTTCAATTTTTTCAAATGGAATGAGGGTGGCTCATTAGCATAAACATTTTTTTACTAATAATTTGATACCACACACTTGGTATTTCGAGTTAAATTTTCGTTACGAACCGCAAGTTAAAATTTCAAATAAACCATATGCGAAAGTGTCAAAAGTTGACATGTGATATGTCATTCTATTCAGAATGTTACTTTCTATCGAATAAAGTAAAAAAAATACAGAGGGTGCCATTTAAAAATCAAAAGTTGTAGTCATTTCCGGTGGAACAGGAAGTGACCGAAAACAATTGAATACGTCAATTAATCCCAATTTATTTGATATACTAACATACCAAATCTCGTTTTTTAACAGAAAAAATAAAAAAGTTATAGGGGTGAGCCACTTTTGAGACGCACCCGGTATACGTGGGGCCGATTTAAAACATATCGATATTTTAAGTTATAAAAATTAAAAATTTCAAAATATCGATATTTTTAGACATCCCTAAGAGATTTTTTTTTGTTTAATTCTCACATATACGTGGTTCCAATTTAAAAAATATCGATAATTTTAAACATCTCTATTTCTTTATTTAATGCTGCACATATACGTGGTACCGATTTAAAAAATATCGATAATTTTAAGTATCGATATTTTTTCTATCGACGTTTTTAGACATCCCTATTTTTCCTATCTGATACTGTACATACAGGTAGTTCCAGCTCGACCAAAAATCGTATACCGTCCTCTCTAAAACGAAGCGAGTCCACAATCTCGGCACAATTTTAAATAACAGTCAGTCTAAATACATAAATATGATCGAATCAATTCGAATCGGAGTCGGCACAGACGTTTTTCCTAAAGTTCACCCTCGCCTTCCGAACTCGTTTCCTAAACCGTTCCTTTCTCACCTCCTCGTCGCTGCTGCAGTCTTTTTGGCGCCCACCGTGGGGCGTCGTTTTTTTCACCGAAAACGACACCTTGGGTCGGGACTTGGAGCTGCTGGGTCCCGTGCCGCAGCCGCTGTCCGTGAAATCGTCGTTTTTGCGCTTTTTCGTCGGAGTTTGGTGGTAGTCGAACTCGTAATCCTCGTCGCTGGAAGTGGTCGTGGTGGTGGGGGCGTCTTGCAGCCAGTAGCCGTTGGCCGAGCTGGTCGAAGGGCTGTTTTCGTCGACGGTCTTGATGGCGGCGGGGATGGATTTCCGTTTGCGACTGCTCCCTGTACCTGTAGAACAGAAGGATTGGTTTGAATTAAATGAATTGATTCGAAATATCGATATTTTATAGTATCGATATTTTTACACATCCCTAAGGTTTATTTCTTTATTTGATTTTGTATGGTGGTTTCATTTAAAATTGCGAAAAAATACTATCGATATATTTTCTATGGATCTTCTTAGAAATATCTAAGATTTGGCTTGGTGCATTTCAGTTGATTGCAACAAATTCCGAGCGCAACGCTTCAACGGCAAAAATCAGAAATTATCAGTACATGTTTCACGCCGCCGTCATGTTGATCGCATTAAAATAATATTGAAATCGTGGTTTTGTCATAATACATATTTAAATGTTTTAGTTTTTTGCTAGTGCAGTTATTGAGACTATGAAACATTCAGGTACGAAGATTGTGTGATGTAACGCTGTTTCGGGTAGTAAAAATTAAGTGAACAAGAATTCGAACTAGGTGTCGTGTTGTGTTGGGACAATTTCAAATGTTAATAAAATTGCCGAAAAAATGTTAACATATAAAGGAGAGCGTAATTAGGGCGTTGTTGGGTGCAATAACATTCATTAACTTTCCCAGATATTCAACTCTCCCGAAACGACATTTTATAGTTTCATAGTTTCTCACACCGATTTGATCAAAAACAAAAATGAATTCAAGCAGTTCGACGAAACAAGTAAGTAAACGAAGTGCTCGTTACATAATCAAAAAATTAAATAGACATATGAGAGGATAAAATATAAATTGCAATATTAATGGTATACTTTTTTAATCATTAGTGATTAAATGTTTTATGAACATCTAAAATTATAATTATGCACCTTTAAAGATTTTCGTTATAGCCGAAATAGCCCCAATTAGCCCCACTAGCAAAACCGGTGATTAAAACTATGTTCGCTACCGTAATTGAACTCATCTAAAAAGTTTATTTAAGTTATTTTTATTTTTAGAATTTTCACAAATTATACTTCCTAACACTTATAGGATAATTAAATAATAAATTTTTCGTATTCTCCTTATTTAAACCAGTGTATTTGTAAGTACTCGTTGTTTACGATATTCTCTGATGGTGGCAGCACCGGCGGAGAATGCACCAAGCCTATAGTATTTTTCTTACCTCTACTTGTAGAAGCACCATTATTTAACTCCTGATGATGATTCCTACTCGAAGACGTCGTACCATTCGTAGTACCACCTCTTCCATTACTAACTTGCCCATTACTATTCGCAGCAGGCATGTCCAACCCACTAAAAACATGCTCCTGCGTTCCATTCAGTGGCGTAGGAAGTATATTAACCAAGTTTTCTTCGTCGTTAGACCTTAGTTCTTCCTGCAATTCTTCCTGCGGACTCTGTAAAGCTTCCTCTTCGGAATCCTGGTCCATTTCTAACCTATACATCGAACTGTTCGAGCTGGTGATACCCGTACTAGTACTGGGAGTGTCTAGGAGTACGCCGATGCCGGCGTTTTCGCAGGCTTCGCGCAGGTACTGTCTAGTTCGGTACCTTAATCTGAAAAACGTCCGTATATAATGTATTTACCAAACTATATTTTTCCCGAAATTTAGGGAAAAAGAATCCAAAGTGACAATACCGCCTATTTTTTTTGAAAAATAGAGAAGAATAAAAAATATTTAAAGTAATTGAGGAGTTCGGTACCTTAATCTAAAAAAGGTACGTGTAATGTACTGACCGATATTTTCCCTAAATTTAAGGAAAAAAGTTCTTACTTGGCAAACGGCTTAATTTTTTCGGGTATCGAGAAATGTGACAAATTTTAAAAGTAACTGATCAGTTCAGTACCTTACTCTGAAAAAACGTACGAGTACCGCGTATTAACCAACCGATTCTTTCCCCTAAATCTAGGAAAAAGTTTGTAACTTGGCAACATTGTCTAATTTTTAGAACATCAAGACGAGCAAGAAATGTGGAAAGTAATTGATGTGTTTGGTAGCTTAACTTGAAATCGGTAAAATTTAGGGAAAAAAATCCAACTTGGCAACACCGTCTAAATTTTTGTATAACGAGAATAATAAGAAATGATGAACGTAACCTGACTTTGGTAAATAATGGAATAAGAATAAACGCAATATTATAAGTATGCATGTGCTAACCAATAATTTTCCCTTAATATTAGGAAAAAACCTCGAAGTTTACAACGCTGCTAAAGTTTGGAATATCAACTACCGTGGTTATTTTATTTTTTAATGATTTTTCTATAACAAAATATTTATAATACTCTCTTACAGTTTGCTATACTAGGTAGAACAAAATATTTGATTTCCCCAAATTTAGGGAAAATCGCAAGACTTGACAACGCTGTATATCCGATTTACACACTCTTACCTCGGACTAGCTTCGTATTTGACCCTATTATTCGTCTCCAAATATCCACATCCTTTCCTAGGCGTCTTTTTCGACACACCATTGTGTTTCTCCTTCTTTTTCCGTTTTTCTCTCAGCATCAGTCTCCTCACCGAGCTCGAGGATTTGTTATGCGCCATGCGGGCCAACCGGCTGCGCTTTTTCGATATCAGCTGCGCGATTTTGTTCGTTTTCAGTCGTTTGGGTTCGTCCGCGCAGTTCTTACCGTTCCTGTACATTTTCAACACGAGCTTGGACCAGTCTTGTTCTTGGTCCGAGTCACTGTCCGATGTTTGTACTTCCGAACTCGATATCCAGCCTGGAAAAAAATATATGAAGATATCTAAGTTCAGTAATCGCAAAAGATTTTCCGATGCACGTCATCAATTATATCGAAATTGACACTAAAGTCTATAAACCTGACTAAATGAAATTTTGCCAAAAATGTTTAAATATGTTGTATAATTTAAGATACCGAAGCTCTTCATTTTACTTTATAGAGCAAGTGATTGTAACAGATATTTTATTTAGATTAAAGCTGCAAAAATTAGTTTAAAGCGATTTTTATTATCGCCATGTTGGTCACATTGCGCCGCGATCAGCAACGTTGTCGTTTATTATTTGACAATTATCATAATGTCAGTCATTATTTTGTATAATATCATGTTGTTGTTGAATCTTTGGGAGAAATTCTCGTTTTTTTGCCGATTATCATAGCATTTTTTTTAAAATTGTACTTTTAAGCACAAACAGTTCTTTTAAGAACTAAATTTTACATTAAGATTCATCTCATAAATCCATCACAGTCTGGCAGCGTTGTCGCCACCGCTTGTCACTCAAAGTTGATCACGTGCATCGGAAATTGTTTTGCGATTACTTATAAGTAATATTTAATTAATTTTAAGTATTTTTTTTTAATTTAATCTGCCTAATCATTCCGAATCACTATTAAAATTAGTATACTCTACAGAGTACAACTCCCAATATTGTAGGACTCGACAAAAAATCTTTAGAAATGATTTTTTCAATCATTGAAATGATAAATTACCTTCAATTTCCCGTTGGATCAGTGAATCAAAGAACGCCATCATTTTAGCGTCCTCCATCGTGGATTGATCACTGTAATCATGAGATATCCTCTGAAACAGATCAATAAATAATCAAAAAACACTCTAAATAATACCAGGTGTATGTCTTTAACGTACTTCTCCACTGTTGCCAACTAATTCAGCATAATCCTGATGAGTGTACACTATGCGAGCAGGATCGGTATATTCTTTTAACAAAGACCCCCTCCAAGTGCCTAATTTTAAGAAAAATATTTTTTATCATCCGTATTTTTTATTATACAGGGTATCCCTTAAATTAATGCAGGTACTTACTGTCTTCAAAACAAATTAAAATTAACCGAGATATTATTAATAATATCACGTAATTTTTTGTGTAGAAAATTAGAATTACCGGGAACTTATAAACACACAAATATGCAGAATATGAGTAGCATAAGAGGTGGCAACATTGCAAGAGAGCGCATTTTCGGCACTATAATTTTTTTTAAATACTCCGTAAATGTTAACATTTTTTTAGCAAATAAAATATTCATTTATACTGTCAGTTTAAAATACCTACCTAGCATTTATTTAACAAAGATCCTGTATAATAATTATTTCTTATAACTTGTTAGAGGTGTGAAAAAATATTGAATATTTTTATATACCCTAAAATGGCAGAAATTTGTTTTACCTATAGGAAGAGCACTCCACAATTTGATCATTTTTTCTACACCAGATGACGCAATCAAGTTGTTGTGCTTGTTGTACCTCACTTGGTTCACTATGCTTCTATGGCCTCGCAAAACCATATGTGATTGTCCCCATTCAGCTAAAAAAATCATAAAATATTTTTATTTTATTTGTATGATGATCTAGCCAAAATTATCATCGATTATCATTCTCCAGCCGTCTTTGACGCCATTTTTTTTTATCGTACGGTATCCAAGATTATTACTTACCATTGTCTTTGGGTATTTTCCACATATACAAGTTAAAATCATCGGAACCACTCAAAATATACTCGTCGCCATCACCAGCAAAGGAACACGTCTTCATGGTACAACTGTTGTAGTACTGAGGATGATAGAACTGACAGATAGAATGTTCCTCGTTGAGATTGTACAGTACGGGAGGCAACCGCCTTCTTAGAGCTAGTACTTTGGTACCATTTGAGTCGAAACATGCGCTAATACCGCTAGATTTACCGCTGTTCGAGTCGTACTTCAGTAGTTCTCTAGAAAAAGGAAATGAGAAAATTCGCGTGACTCAATTCACTAAAAAGGATCGTAATGCCCATCACTAATGTTGATACTTACTCTCTGGGTTTTCTACAGTCCCATAAGGCTACCCCCTCCTCAGAATTGGCCGAGACCAAATACCTAGGCTTGGTGGGATTGAACATCACAGAATGGAAACCAGTCTTTTGTTTGGCGAGAATCAAAGCCTCTGCAAACCAATCGTAAGAAATATAAATAAAAATAATATATATGAAGCTATAAAATTTTCAAAACGAACAAATATTAGAAAGAATTGAAAATATCGAATTAGATCTTGGTATGAAATAAGAAAAAATAATCAGTTACCCTAATCTGTGGACATACAGATAAAATAAATGATTTTTACCTTGATTTGGGGCTTCTCTGATATCGTAGAGCAGCAATCTACCATCTTCTCCCGCTGTAGAGATGATTTCGTCGTTTTGGGGATTCACACTGAGCCCATAGACGGGTTTCCTATGGGGTATTGTGCATATGGCATTCCCCCTTTAAATATAATATCATAAATTTCAAAATTACCCGATAAAAACTTGGAAATGGCTGTTTCACACCCCGTAATTTTTATTTTAATATAAAAACCTCTGGAATAGAGTCATATTCTAGTAGTTTTACTACAAAATAATCTTAAATAATGTTGGTTACAAGATGATATTTAATAGGTGTGTCTAGGGGTTTTAATAGTTTATGATCGAAAAAATATTTTTCCTAACACTGAAAGTTCAACTATTTGAAATATATTTATAGCATAATATAAAAAACAAGCTTTTTATAGTGCTTGAAAACACAACCAGTGTTCTGTTTTGCCCTGATATGACGACACGCAATTCTGATTAATGTTGGTGACAAAATGCCACTAAAAAGATAGATCCAGATGGTTTAATAGTCTAAGGTGCATGAATACCTCAGACTATTAAAAAATAAAATATTATACCTATTTGTACAATAAAAACATGTAATAGTCTTGCTGTTGTGTATATATATATATATATATATATATATATATATATATATATATATATATATATATATATATATATATATATATATATATATATATATATATATATTTTCAAAACAAATGCGAAAAACTTCAGGGGGTGATTCCTTGTTCAAAATAAAGGGTAGTTTGCTTCATAAACGTTGGGTCAAAAGTCAACCATTGGGGAGATATTGCGGTACAAAGATGGCGGAAAAATAATGTTTTCAATTCAAACAGAAATTGTATAGTATATTATATTATAGTATATTGGTCACACAAAAACAGCCCTGAACTGACGTCATACAATCAATAATGTTGGTTACAAAAAAAGCTGACTAACAGGAGAGTCTAGGGGGTGTTAACGCTCCATGGTAGCAAACTTTTTTTTCTAATATTATTATCTAATATTTTAAAAACGATTAAAAAATATTTTTTTTATTTTTTAACATTAAAATAATCATAATAGAAGTCTCTGATATAATATTATATGTAGTATGGGCTAAATAAAATAAGAAACAATCGTTTTATATTGCTTGAAAACGCAATAGGAACTTTATTTTGCCCTGAGATGACGTCACTTAGTCTCGATTTATGTTGGTTAAAAATTCACGCCCAAAAGTCGTGTTCTAATAGTCTAAGGTGAATTTTTAGCATAGACTATTAAAACAACTGGACGTATTTTTTAGCGGTATTTTTTATGATTTCTGCGAATATTATAATAAAAATTTAGTTTTCTTACGAGAAAATTTCGTGGATGATAACCTGATCGTCGTTACCGCCAGAGAAGATTTTCTTGTTTTTTGAATCGAAGGCCACACAAAAAATATTGCTGTTGTGCGTTTTTTTCATGGAAATCGGCGCTCCCCTGTCGTAGATTGCTTCTGATAAGGACCATAGCAGTACCCTTCTGTCGTCTCCACCTGTATGTGTAGAAAAGCGAGTAAAAATAAGTCAATTTTTGGGAACAAACGATAAAAAAAATGTTTTTATACAGGGGTGTCGCGCCTCATTCGCCTCGGGAGATCGTGGGAGGCAATGTGCATAATTTAAAATCGTTTTGAAATATACAGGATGTTTCAGAACTAAGATCCATACCAAAATTGTATTTTTTCTTATGGAACACCCGGTATTTTATTCCATTTTTGGATCCGTGGACATAAAATACGGCATTTTATTATAAGGGTTAAACATGTTTAAAAACTTTGGTTTTTGAGATATTTAAAGATTATTTAAATATGCATACTATAAAAGAAAATATCAACACCCTGTACATTACTTTTCAGAATTAATTCTTGTGCTGAGTTTAAAGGTAGAGAAATAAACTTTACTGAGAAATTTGATTGCTTCCTTAAATGTATACAGGGGTACCAAAAATTGGTGATCTATTTTAAATATTTATTTTAAATAGATCTGGAAACAAAGTATAACAATACCCATTTTTAAAAAGGGAGATAAAACAGACCCAGCAAACTATAGAGGAATAACATTACTGAGCGCCTCGCTAAAACTTCTGACTAAGATCATTGCGAACAAAATCTCCTCAATAGTGCCAATAAGCGAGGAACAACAAGGATTCCGAAGAAACCGATCAACTACCGATGCACTATTCATACTCAGGCAACTAGTTGAAAAATCCTTAGAATATAACTCTCCAGCCTATCTATGTTTTATAGATTTAACAAAGGCCTTTGATAGGTCCAACTAAAAGACATCATCACCATCTTGGAAAGCAGTAATGTCTCGAAAGAACTCACCGAACTTACCAAGGACTTAAACACAAACACAACAACCCAAATAAGAACAAACTTTACCTTAACGCAGCATCTTCGAACTACAACTGGTATTTGCCAAGGCGACAGTCTCAGCCCTCTGCTATTCAACACAATCATGGATCAAGTAATAAAAACCGTCAAGAATCCTGGATTAGGATATCGAATGGGAATGCATAAAGTAAACATATTATGCTATGCCGATGACGCAGTACTTATTGCAGAGTCAGAGGATGACCTCCAAAGAATGCTACAAGCTTTTAACAGACAGGCAGAAAAACTTAACATGCAAATTTCCACAGATAAGACCAAATGCATGACCATTACAAAGGAGCCTCTACGGTGCAAATTGGTAATAAAAAACAAAACTATTGATCAGATAATGTCATTCGAACACCTCGGATGCAAAATTACAAGCTCAGGATTCCTGGAAGAAGATGTAAGGAAACAAGCCAGTAAAGCTGCCGCAATATCAGGACATCTTAAATATCCCATATGGAAAAACAAACATTTGAGTACAGAATGTAAGTCAAGAATATACAAAACCTGCATACGACCATTGATGACATATGGTGCGGAAACCAGAGCTGAAACATCAGTAACAAAGAGAATCCTACGAACTACTGAAATGAAGACCTTAAGAATGATAACTGGATACACATTGAGGGACAGACAGAGAAATGTAGACATAAGAGAAAAGTGCCAAACAAACGACGTTGTCAGATGGATAAGGCAGAGAAGAAGAGAATGGAACCAGCATGTCAATAGAATGGGCCCCGGCAGAATGGCCATAATAATTCGCAACAACGTACCCCATGGCAGAAGACCTACTGGACGACCACCTAAACGTTGGCAAGACAGTTGGCAGGTGGTTGGCAGTCAACCTCGCAAGAGTTGCTTAGACGAGGAGGAAACCGGAACTAAACAGGCGATACGCCTTCTAAAAGAAGAAGAAGAAGATTTTAACATTGAGGTCATCATAAAATTGAGCTGGCAATTGCCCAGTAGCAAAGCCAAAACCGAGACAAGACAAGACAAGACAAGAAGATTTTAAATATAAAATTCGTTATTTCAAATACAACACCCTGTATTTTTTATAATAAATCGAAGCAGATTTAAATGCTCTTTCGAACCATATTAGGGTTTCCTATACCTATCTGACTCAGATTTTGAACAAAAAGCATTTTTTATTAAAATGGCAATCAAGATGGCTGGTGTCGCCATGGCAATTTTCTAGTGACATTTAATTTACCTACAATAGTTTAATAAGTAAGTATTTATTATTTTATGAAGAAAAATGAGGCAGTATCTGCTGGCGGAAGAAATGGATATAGTGATTTTATTTTGTGAGGAAAATTGTTTTTTTGCCTGAAGGGTTTATGCTCAAAGATATCCAAATAGGAATCCTCCTGGTACGCGTTCCTTTGAAAAACTACTTGTCCTATTTCGCAGAGCTGATGAGCAGAGTGTGATTTATGAAAAACCTATTAGGCAGAAACCTGTCGTTGCAAGTGAAAAAAATGAATTTGCTGTAATTGCGGATTTTATCCGAATTTCAAAGCTCACTTGTCATGAATTTATGACAGCATTCAACACCGGGGACTTTGCTTTACTTGGACAAAGTCGTGGGCAAAATAAATTGTTAAAAAATCATAACAAAAATGTATAAAAGCAAAAAATAGGTCAAAAATACTATTTACTAGGTCTCCAACAAAAATTTTAAATTCAAACCCACTAGGTCTGGTTCATGCTCAAAAATAGCTGCTTAAAATGCTTTACATGTAAATAATTCTATGCCAGAATAATAATATAAATTGAGAAAAATAATTCCTAAAATCATTGACTTTATGTTTGTAATTTTTAAGCAAAAATACTAAAATAAATTAAATAAACAACTCAAAATTTGATATCCTAAAAACCAGTGACTTTTATCTATAATAGAAAATGATAGTGAGCTTCATGGCAACCATTTTCTTTTAATTCTCCTTTGCCTATCAATTCACTGTTTATATTATTTAATTTTCTTTCATTGTAAATCTCAAGACTTTAGGCTAAAATATATTCAATATAAACCCTAATTCAGTAAATACACTAGTAAAATATTCAAGAAATTCTTTGGATCATAAAAATATAATTTACGAAACTTATGTACGTTGTACGTCAGAAATTAAATGTGGGCGACCATTTTTTAGGTACAGCCTGACGATTAAATCATAGTTTATATTAATTATTGTTAAGAATAAAGTAAAACTCAACTAATTCACTCACCGGAAACCAATAATTCACCCTCCTCGGAAAATTCGATAGCGTTCACACACCCGTAGTGACTGAACAGGTCTTTTCTGTAAAAGTTCCTGGCTTGAGCCAATCTTTCTTTGAATATCCGGTTCTTTATCACTAAACCGTCTCTGTATTGTCTCTCTACTACGTAATTTAGAGGATTTAACACCGATGGACCCGCCATTATAAACTTTTTCGGGCTTTTGCAGGCCCTACAGACACTTTTGTTGACAAAATCCGCAGACTGATGTCAGAAATCCAACGGGACATGTCACGATCAGCTGTTTCGGACCCTCGGCTCTGCGGCGTTGCCGATAGTACGGAAATTACAGTGTTTACACCGATTTTTATTCATAACGTCAAAATTAGTGGTTTCAATTAGCATAGAAGTGCATAGAAGTATGTCACTCTAATTTCAATGTAAGCATTCAGAACGTCTAAATTAGTTATGTAGTAGAAAAAGTTAACAAACTTTTAAGCTTCATTCAGAACCTCGCAATTAGTGGAATAAATTACTGGTTTCAATTACACCTTATATTTTTTAGTTTACGGTCATTCACAATATTTAAAAAATACAATTAAATTTAATAGAATATTCTAGCAACAGCTTGCGTTGGTCAGTTGTATCCATAGAGAAAGCCTAATATTTTATAAAACAATCAACTTTTGATTTCTAACCACAATTTTTCTTGACGGAAGACACGGAAGATAATCAAAGGCCAAAATGACATTTTTCGCAAATTTTGAAGTATAGTTAGTGGAAAAGTTAAAAGTTTGATAACTTTTTCTACTAATTGAAAATGTCTACCACTAATTTTGACGTTGTGAACGCTTACATTGGAATTAAAGGAACAAACTTCTACGCTAATTGAAACCACTAATTTTGAGATTCAGAATGAAGCTTAACAAGATTACAAAATACGGAAATTTCAGGGAAATTTTGAGGTCTCTGTTACGGCTTTTTCTATTTCGGCAACACTGCGGCTCGGTCATTTTACGTTTATCTGTCAAAGAATATACCTCGAGTTATGTCTATCTCTCCTTAATGTATCTAAAATAAAAAGAAACATCCATATTTTAGAACTACTCTCCTAAATATAAAGTTATATCAACTATGGATGTACTTCACGTTCAGAAATATGTGTTTCTGTCTTTTTCTGATGTATTTAAATAGAAAAGGAATCGGAGAGGACGTGAGTGTTTTCTTTAGACCATTTTTGTTAAGGCTGGTTTACAAAATATTGAGGGTATATCGAAAATTCTTGGAAAAATACTTCCTTAATTTTACGGCATAATATTCAAAATCCTTTTACAGGTAGTCCAAAGTAGTATTATAGGAGATTTTTGGAATTAATAAATAATTATAGCCAGGGGACATTAATTTTATTTTATTAACAGACCTTCCTAGAATAATTTACATATACAGGGTGACGCACCTCATTCGCCTCGGTTGATTATACGAAAACGGAAAGATGTAGAAACAAAATATTTTAGGAGTATATGTGGGGAGACAATGTGCACAATTTAAAATTATTTTGAAATATACAGGGTGTTTCAGAACTAAGATCCATACCAAAGTTATATATTTTCTTATGGAACACCCGGTATTTTATTTCATTTTTGGATTCTTGGGCCCAAAAAAAGGTATTTATTATAAGGGTTTAATATGTTTAAAATCTTGAGATATTTAAAGATATTTAAATTTGCATTCTACAATAGAATAGACTACATTACTTTTCAGAATCAAATTTTGTGCTGAGTTTAAAGGTAGAGAAATAAACTTTACTGAAAAATGGTATTGTTTCCTTAAATTTATACAGGGCTATCAAAAGTTGCTGATCTATTTTAAGGATATATTTTATATAAAAACTTTGTTATTTCAAATGTAACACCCTGTATTTTTTTAATTAAATCGAAGCAGATTCAAATGCTGTTTCAAACTATATTAGGGTTTCCTATACCTATCTATCTCAGATTTTGAATAAAAAGCGATTTTTAAATAAAATTATAATCAAGATGGCTGGTGTTGCCATGGCAATTTTCTAGTGACAGTTAGTAACTATTTTCAAAGTCGACATTAGTTTATGGACATTATTATTTACAATTTATAACAGTTTACTTAAATTTACCTACAATAGTTTAATAAGTAAGTATTCATTTATTTTATGAAGAAAAATAAAGCAGTATCTGCTGGCGGAACGAATAGATATGTTACTAGTGATGTTATTTTGTGAGGAAAATTGCTTCTTGGCCTCAAGGGCTTATATGCTTAAATATATCCAAATAGGAATCTTCCTGATAAGAGTTTCTTTGAAAAACTTCTTGTCCTATTTCGCCTGGTAGTGTGGTTTATAAAAAACCTATTAGGCAGTAATCTGTCGTTGGAAGTGAAGAAAATGAATTTGCCGTAATTGGCTCTTTTAAAAAGAAATAAACATTTTTCTGTAAAGTTTATTTCTCTGCCTTTAAACTCAGCACAAGAACTAATTCTGAAAAGTAATGTACAGGGTGTTAATAATCTATTCTAATGTAGCATGCAAATTTAAATATCTTTCAATATCTCAAAAATCAAAGATTTTAAACATATTTAACCCTTATAATAAATACCTTTTTTGGGCCCAGGAATCCAAAAATGAAATAAAATACCGGGTGTTCCATAAGAAAAAATATAACTTTGGTATAGATCTTAGTTCATAAAACACCCTGTACATTTCAAAATAATTTTAAATTGTGCACATTACCTCCCCACATATACCCATAAAATATTTTGTTTCTACATTTTTCCGTTTTCGTATAATCAACCGAGGTGAATGGGGTGCGCCACCCTGTATACAAGGTGACCTAATGTAACAACCATTTTCGAGTCAGATTTTTGATATTAAAATTTTTTAGAGAGTTACGCTGTAAAAAAACTGCATTATTTTTATCAATAGTCCCTACAATAGAGAATTTTCATCATATGTATACTGGGTAACCTAAATTATAAACATTGTTCTGAAAAAATGCTCTATATCAGGTTTTTTGTTTCTAATTTAGAAATATGCAGACAAGAGACCCTAGAGCAGTTTTATTATATACAGAGTGTTACAAGGTTTTTTACAGACTACTGGTGTAATTTTGATTCTTAATGAAGCTTCGCAGATATTCAGTGTAATTTGTCCTAAAAGAATATCTAGGGAAATGTTTTATATTTTAACAATTTTGACATTAAATTTTGAACACTCTGTACAATTTACAATTACCATATTTATAATAAATACCAACACTTAGGCACTTAATATAGTGTTATTTTCGTGATGTTTCTTGCATTTTATTTTTTCTTAAATCAATAAAATATACTATATAAAGTGTTTTTATTTTAAAAAAATCACCCTCTCACACACTCATACTTTTCTGCGACACCCTGTAAGTTTTATTATAATATTTACAAATCTTGTATAAATATACCGTATGATCGAAAAAAAACGGCGTCAGCGATGGCTATGAAGTGAAGATCGCTGCCATTTTTTTATATATAAAATTGTATGGGGACTGTCATTACTGTTTATTTCCAAGCCAACTGGATGCCGTTTTGTTAATTTTGACTAACGTCATATATTTTACTATTTTAAAATGTTAAAGGAGCGCAAAATTCATAATCTCCATAGCATTAAACTAAATAAATTTTGTGCTTCTTTAAAATATTAAAACAGCAAAAATATGACGTCAAAATTAATAATAACCGTCTATCAAAGAATGAAAACTTAAAAACATTACCATAGAAACGCATTTTGATTTTTCTGACTTATATATTTATTTTATTTTCTCTAAAACGGTATGGAAATTTGGAAAAGAAAAACAGTATTAGCCATTTTAGAACAAACAACATTTTTTATAAAATATATAAATGCATTTTTCTTAAAATATTAATAATAAACAAGTTTTTCTTCTTGTAAAGACGATCGGGCACATACTGTACAGGGTGCGTCAAATTCGACGCTTTTAAATGGAAACACCCTTTTCTATAGGAGATAGACGAAAACTAATATCGGTGTCTGGAGCTCAATTTTCATCAAAAACATGATGGTGAAAACCGCTCATCAATATCTGTTACCGTTTCGGATTTACGGGGTGTTTTTCAAAAATGTGCATTTTAACAAATCGCTGTAACTTTTTTGCTATAGAAAATTTTGTATTTCTAGGAAAACATTTCCAAAGCACCTTTTTACGTAGAATTTAATGGTTTAAGTATAATTTTTTTAAAATTAATAATTTAAGAGTTATCAACAGAAGAATTTATTTTTTATTTGGGACACCCTCTATATTTTTAATTAATTGAAAATAATTTAAAATTACCTTTCCAAAAATATAGCACACTTGATATTTTGTTATAATCCCCTTCGAAATACAGAATTTTTAAAAGTTCGCCACTTTTAACTTGTAGGCTTTGGACCCCTTATTGATAATATGCCCTTAATGGAACTCGAAAACATATTTTTCCAGCAAGACGACGAACCGCCTCTGAACGCTGAAGTTACCAGCAAATTTTTGCAGCCAATTTCAAGAATAATTGAATAGCTAACCAAGATCCCAGCCGTTGGCCGGCGAGGCCGCCTGACTTAGTGCCCATGGATCTAATCCTATGGATATATTTGAGGAAGAATAAAGGTTCCTTATTCTTCCGTATAATCTAGACAAGAATTAGAAATACTTAGCAGTTATGAGAGGGTATCTTTCACCCCAACTGATTTAATGAATTCCTCGAGAAATGTTCAAAAACGGCCCCGTCTGTCCATAACAGAAGACGGTCATATGTCGATATGTCGAACACCTGTAACAAAATCTCATGTCTTGGTTTGCTATTTATTTTTATTGTTATTAGATATAGTTTAAATGTGTTGATGTTCGTTGAATATATTTTAAATTGTTATAAAATTTTGCATCTCTCATAGCAAATATTATTTTCGTTTTAATTGATGCTCACAGCTAGAATTATTTTGCATTACAGCTGGTGCCGTTCAAAGCCTACTTATTTAAAGGGGGCGAATTTTTATATACTTTATATCCCGAAGAGGAATCGCGCAAAATATCAAGAGTGTTATATTTTTGGAAACGTAATTTTAAATCCTTTTCAATAAAATAAAAATATACAGGCTGTTCCATATAAAAAATCAAATTTTCTGTTGATAATTCTTAAATTATTCATTTTAAAAAAATTATACTTAAACCATTAAATTGTACGTAAAAAAGTGCTTTGGAAATGTTTTCATAAAAATACAAAATTTTCCGTAGCAAAAAAGTTACAGCGATTTGTTAAAAATGCATATTTTTGAAAAACACCCCGTAACTCCGAAACGGTAACAGATATCGATATGCGGTTTTCACCATCATGTTTTTGACAAAAATTGAGCTGCAGACACCGATATTAGTTTTTGTCTATCTCCTATAGAAAAAAAAGGGTGTTTCCATTTAAAAGCGTCGAATTTGACCCACCCTGTACATATTGTATCGATTTTTTTATATGTTTTTGTATCGATATATCACATCGATATTGCTGCATGTACCGTGCATTCTTAGGTAGTACCATTATAACAATAGTACGATAAAAAGCATAATAAATATATCCTTATCCAAGACGCAAAGATATTAATAAACATATCACGAATTCTTGAATCGGAAACAGCCATATCAGTATTAAAGACATCGATTCCGTATAAATCACTATACTATTCGATAAAAGTCTTTTTTAAATTGTTTTAGTCTTCCGTTTGTTACATACCTACTTACATCTCTCTTGTGGTTACTTCCAAGCTGTCACATTCATTTCATCATTATAAAATACTTACATATACTTTTCATTAAAATATTTCTTCAAGACCACATCCTTTCTTTTGTGGTTTCAAGATAAAAAAAAATATAACTAATATAAATAGACAAACATATATATAATTTAGTTTTAAAAATGTATAATCCTAAAATGTTGCGCGTAGTTTTAGTGTTTGAAAGTGTTTTGTGTGTTCTGGGGTACAATTTTGACACACAGCATCCTATAGTCTTTGAGGACCCAGGTGAATTTAAAGAAAAGTCATATTTCGGGTATTCTACTGTGTTGTATAGTGATGAAATTACCGGTAAATATTGGTAAGTGTTTAATTTATATACCGGTCTTTACAAGAAGAAAAGCTTTTTTTTATTATTGACATTTTGAGAAGAATGCATTCTTCTTAAACATTTTTGCTTGTTCTAAAATGGTTAACCCTAACTTTTCCAAACCGTTTTAGAGAAAATTTGAAATGACATTTTTCTTAAAAATCAACAGGCATTTCTATGGTAATATAATTTCATTTTCATTCTTTGATAGATTGTTATACCATATGATCAAGAAAAAAAAAACGACTTCAGCGATGGCTATGAAATGAAGATCGCTGTCATTTTATATGTAAAATTATATGGGGAACGTCATCGAAGTTCATTTCCAAGCCAACTGGACGCCGTTTTTTTTTTCGATCATACAGTAGATAGAATTAATAACAGCAAAAAATATGACGTCAAAAAAAATAATAATAACCATCTATCTATCCCAGAATGAAATCGAAATGTTTTACACAATATTTTCAAGATATTTCAATTTTTCTCTAAAACGGTATGGAGATTTGGAACAGTTTCAGAATAAGCAATTTTTTTATCAATAATGCATTTTTTTCAAAATGACAGTAATAATTCCTCTTGTAAAGTCAATCCGGGTATACTGTATAACAATGTCTTATCAGGATCAAAATTGGGGCTCCCAAAGGAACGTATACAGGGCGCGGCAAAACTATCCAACAGTCGGGACTGGTTTATCATTGTCCCTATATGGAAAAATGCATACTTGAACCTTTTGACTATCATAGTAAGAGTCAAAAAAAAAAAATACACCAAAAAAAAATCTTATAATGATTTTTTTTTGCTATTTAGATGAAAAACCGTTTGACATTAAGTGGCCTGGTGGAAACTTGACCCAATCCATGCTGGGTAGTGCGATGGACATCCATTACAAGTCCGGAACTTTTGCGGTATGTACAGGGTGTACAAAAAATGCGATGGTGACAAAAAAAAAGAAATCACACTAATTTTTTGAAACAGAAATTTAATGATTTTATTTTTTTACCTTTTTTTTCAGATGTCTGCCAACAAATGGCACGATAATAATCAACATTCGAACATACGGGGTGGATTTTTCTTAAAAAATACCACGGGAAATACCTGGGCTTCTAGTAGTCCATTAAAAGGTAACTGTCATACTGTCATCAACGTGTCTTCTACCTTTAATTGGGAAATTTATACAGAGTATCTTTAAAACAAGTGCAAATATTTTAACTAGTAGATATAGTTCTACCCCAAAACCACACTCATTAGTTTGTTTGCAAAAAAGAATGAAAACTTTACATTTTTTTTTAATTTTTCGGGTAATTTTGAAAAACTTTTTAGTGCCGCAGGTTCATTCTCCTTAATGTTGCCACCTCCTCCGTTTCCCTCATTTTGACTATTCGTGTTTTTATAAGTTCACCGTAATTTTAATCAACAAATTGCAACAATTACTTTTAATTATATCAGTGGCATTTTTTTATTACTATTAGCCTTAATTCTGGAAAAACGAGGAACATATTACAAGATATTTTCCTTCAAGTTAAGTATACTTTCAGGTTCATGTGGCAACACAGAGCTCGAACAATCTGAGTTGATGCCGGCAGTTCTCAAAATGTTAAGAATTATTTTTATATCAAAATTAAATAACTCGTTATTTTCAATTTATTTTAATAATTTTTCTTTTTGCCAGATCTACGATCGCTTAAGATAATTGCGCTTATTTATGAGACACCCTGTATAATTTTATTATTTTTTTACAGAGCCGTATTCATTGCACCATCTTCCTTACTACAGCAGGTCACAAACTGGATTTTCCGTGCATTTTTCTCAGGTAAAATCAGAAAATAAATGGCTACGTATATGATCGAAGAAAAACATATTTAAGTTGGTCAAGAAAATAAACCTATTTAATTCATTTTTTTTTGATCATATATTTTTTTGTCAAGAAAAAAAAAACTAAATGTAATAAAGTTAGAAGATAAGAAATACACAAATGATCAAAAGAAAAATATATTTAAGTTGGTCTATAGACCTACTTAATTCGATTTTTTTTGGATCATATATTTTTTTCTAACCAAAAAAATAATAAGATAAAATTAGAAGATAAAAACACATATGATCAAAAAAATATATATTTAAGTGGGTCTAGAAAATTGACCTACTTAAGTTGATTTTTTTTCGATCATAGGTTATTTTTGTATTGCTTTAAATAGGAAGATGGGCATCTAGTTTTGGGATGTCCGGGTGTTTACAACTATTTAGGTACTGTCGTAACCATATCGAACATTCAAAAGCCCAAAGAAGAATGGTTGTACCAGGCTGCAGTACCTGAAGGTGCTTACTATCAATATGCAGGTAATTTTTGCTTGTTGAAAATCGTCTTAGTCTATCAAAATTTATACAAGGTAGTTCTTAAATAAGTCCAAAAATTTTAATCAAGCTCAGATGAAGTTTTTTTGACAAAAAAATTGGTAAAAAAAATTTCTTGCCATTTTCTTGTAAATTAAAAAAAAAATTTTGGTGCCACAGGTTTATTCTCCTGAAATGTATTCACGGTGTATCGAAGCCTTGCAATGTTGCCACCTCTTACGTTACCAGCATACTGCATATTTCTGTGGTTATAGTTCAAAGTAATTTTAAGTTTCTAAATTTGCATTTATTTAAAGAAACACCCTGTATTTTAAGAATAAAATGTCTGTTATCACTATATATATCCTTAAAAGAGTAATATATGAATTTGTCGATAAAAACTAGTTTTTTATATTTATTTTTAAATAAAAATTACTTTATTTTTTAGGATATTCTGTCACTTCTGGATACTTCTATGATAGACAACTCTACTACGTCATAGGGTCACCAAAGGCTCACAATGAAAACAAACTTAAGGGTGCGGTTTTTGGAACGGTAAATATCAATACTTTTTTCGACCCACAATCTTTAAGATATTAAATTAAAACCGCCGACGGTATCGTTAGTGTATACAAAAAGTACCACCGACCGGCGGTATGTTATTTCAATATCTGTAAATTCCGTTCGCAAATTGAATTAATTTGTCGCTGCCGGCGGTATGTAATGAAATGACAACAATATCTAATTGCGGAACTTACGTTGGCAAAAACAATAACGTATAATATTTGGTAAAAAGGGCGGTATTTCTGTTTTGTTAAAAAAATATACCGCCCACCGGTGGGCGGTGTTATTTTTTATATCTAGCAACAACTGCCGTACTTGAAACATTTACCTCGTTGTTCGGCGGTATGTAAAGCCGTCTACCGGCGGTATTTTTTTGTCAATCGTCTATACCGCCGGCATTAATTTAGCCAGTTTGTGTGATTTGTTATTTGTTTGAGACTAGGAATAAGTATTCATATATTTTTCAGGTATCTGTATTCACTTTTAAAAACCAACTGGTTAAACACAAAGACCACCAATTTACTATCTCCAACAGACATGTCTTGGTTGGTACCCAAGTTGGTGAGTACTTTGGCTACTCCATGGCTTCTGGTGACTTAGACAGGGATGGTTTAGACGACTTGATGGTCAGCGCACCCTATCGTAGAAACACTGAAACCGGATACAACCAAGGAAGCGTGTATATATTTACTAAAGACCAGTTTACAGTGGAAAGAGCATACAGAATCGATAGTACTGTCAGTGGGAGTCAGTTTGGTACAGCCATCATGTTCCTAGGGGATATAGACACTGATAGAACTAATGGTAAAGTCAAATCTTTGAATATAAAAATTAAGAAAGTACTATTTCTATAATTTTTGTATAAAGAAGGTTATATAAATAAAATAATTCTTGTACAAAAATAATAATATAATAGATTAAATTCTAAATATTTTCAGTCTTCAAGAATTTATAAGAATTACAAAAAGCATTTTTTTATCAATGGTACATATGAATTTAAATTCTGTTTTTTTTTCTTTAGATGTAGCTATATCTGCTCCAAATGAAGAAACCTCAGGGGTTGTTTACATATACTCCTACATAAAAATAACAAAATCTCTTCAAGTAATTCAAAAAATCCAAGCCAAAATGATTCATCCAGACCTGAAAAGCTTTGGAATGAGTTTCTCCAGGCCCAGAGATATAGATAACAATTCATTCAGTGGTATAGTACTGTCTCAAAGAAATAAGTAAATTTAGAAGAGCTCTAGAGATCCTCTTTCTACCCCAGAAGCACATCTATGCCACTGATATGTTACAGGAGCTCCTCTATATATACTTATTTCTCTAGAGGCTACTTTCTTTAACAAGAAATTTTCTTTTGTGTTTAAAACACTTCTTTCTTTTTGTAGATATTGTGGTAGGAGCTCCGTTTTCTGGACATGCTGTATTACTTCGTTGCAGACCAATTGTTGTAGTTCAAGTGAACATGCAAGTACCACCGTTGATCAATACTTCAGAGAAAAATTTTAGTTTCAAAACTTGTTACAGTTACAGCGAATATCCGGGAAGAAAAATAAGTATGTTTTTTAGTAAAAAATGTATCTGTGGTCTTTTGTCTCATTTTTAACAGTACATACCGCATGATCGAAAAAAAACGGCGTCGAAGAGGCTGAGGAATGACAATCGATGATAATTTTGGCGAGGTCAATCTCTAGACATCGTTTACTAAAAATTGACATACAACTTGTCAAAATTGTCACTAATTATAGAAAGATTAAAACAGGATAGAACTTTTCCAAGTAAATAACATCTAGGGGTTGACATCGCCAAAATTATCATCGATTGTTATTCCTCAGCCGTCTTTGACGCCGTTTTTTTTTCGATCGTATGGTACTACTTATTTTTTACCTTCTATACATTTTAGAACTTGTAAGAACACTAACCATCGATAAAGAATTAAGGAGATTCACCATTCACAACAAACAAAGTTTTCAAGAACTAGAAATCACAATAGATGAAAACAAAGAGTTTTGTGAAAGAACCCAAGTCCATAGGGCTAAAAATATCAAAAATCTTAAAGAACCAATCTCTATAACGTTGTCTTACAACATTTTTCAAGAGCCCGACTCAAAAAATAACTCTTTAGTTGTGATAAGCAAGCATGGAGTTATGGGTAAAGATAATTTTTGCAAAACCTGCCCAATTCTCAGTAAAAAATCGGTGAAAACTTTGACAAGATCAGTAAATTGGGATCACCTGTGTAAAAGAAACAATGAAAAAACAGTGTGTAGAGCTAAGATGGAGATATCAGCAAGATTTTTGAATCTAAGGTACATACGTATTTATGTATTATCTTTTTAAGTACATCTGTATACAGGGTGTGTTTGAAATTAGTGCATGTATTTTAACTGGTAGTATATTTTGTCCCCAGAAACAGGCTCATCAGTTTTTTACAATGTAAAAATGTTCCTGGCATTATCTGAGAAGTTTTCATAAACTTTTTAGCACCACAGGCATAACCACCCCTTAAAAAATGCTTGCGCATATTTCAGAGACACCCTATATAGTTAAGGTTGTAATTAAATATTATTTTTTGTCTTTGTTTTTATTTTATCACAAGGGTTTTTTGGTTTTAGTGATGCTGGAACTTTTATATTGGGCTCCTCAAATTCAGTATTCTTAGAAATCACAATAACTAATGATGGAGATCCAGCTTTATCACCACAATTACAAATAGCACTGCCTGAGGCAGTCACATTCACAAAAACATCGGTAAATTGTCAAGAACAATACGGAAATGTCACAATATGCGACTTAGGTGAAAGCCTAGAGAAAGAAGTATGTATTAATAAAATAAATTTAACAAAAAATATATCAACAACGATATTGTAGCAAAAGATGTTATCAGCAATGAAATGACAAGCTTGAATAGTTTTTTTGTAACTCGGTATATGTATAAACTTGAATTCTCTGATCGAGAAAAAAAAACGGCGTCGGAGTTGGCTTGAAAATGAATATCGCTGGCGTTTTATATGTAAAATTGTATGGAGAAAGTCATCGATCATCATTTCCAAGCCAACAGGACGCCTTTTTCTTTTATTACCTATAATTTATTATATTTATGTTAATTTCCAGGTTATTAACATATACGAACTGAACATGAAGAGTATAAATGACGGTGATGATACAAGTCCTCTAAGATTCTTTTTCAACAGATCAACAATAACCCAAAATGATGGCGACAATAACGGGGTTACCCTGACGCTCAATTTAGAACGGATAGCAAATTTTTCTATCACAGGGTTAGTAGTCAGGGAATGCAATCCCGCACCAAAATCTCAATCCCGCAAACCTGCGGGATTAAAGCAATCAATCCCGCGGATCCGCAAAATTGCGGGACTGTAAACAATAGTTGGTTCTAAATTGGTACAAAAGGATATCTCTGCTTTTAAATACACTCTATATCAATAATTTTTTGGTATACGCAGAATGTACAAAGCTTTTTGTACCATTTAGGACCATACATATGACTAAAAATGCATATTTTTCGAAAAAACGTCGTATTTTCCTTAAAACAAAAAAATTAAAACCCCGATCAAATTTTTTTTTCTAATTTCAATACAGATTAGTCGTACTTAGTAAAAATTTCGATTTTTTAAAAATTGTAAATTTGCGGTAAAAAAGATTCTTAACCAAATTTTCACACTCTTCTAAAACACCCTGTATACGAGAATTCACTAGATATATTTTCGAAAACTACATAGCATCTTAATCACAATAGATGCATCTAAAACCTGGTCCAAACCGCGTCCCAAAATCGTTTTTAGTTTAAGAGATATTCAACTTTAAATTTACCCTAAAATTTTGATTGTCCCGATAATTATGTCCGGGAGTTTATTTGACGAAATTGTCCACAAGTAGTAGTTAAACGCTTTTCTTCAGTTACGCACATACGCCAGAAAGAAATCTAACAACTAACCCATAACCACAGCCATAACTAACCGGTTTGTTTCACTTATTTTTAATGGCCAAGCCGTAAGGGGAATCCCCCAGGTTCCTAGCGTCGACGCATCGGCCCGGAACCAAGCGGTTTGATCTTGAATGAGGTCGATTCGGTTACCTAGTAGAAGGCTAGTAGCTAGATATTCTGTGCTAGTAGTAATGTGTCGATCCCGCAGATCCCGCACGGTAAATCCCGCGGAATATCAGAGGGATCCCGCATTTGCGGGATTGCATTCCCTATATAGTTGTTTATTTGTTACTAAGCTTGCTCTCTGTACAGGGTGTCCCATTTTCGTGTGTTTTACTGGGACTACAAAGATGCGGTTTTCACAATTTTCACATTACTATGCTGTTTTTTATGAAATTATAGATGCTACACACAGATTTGTCCAAGACCTCTCAGTTAGGAAAAAGGACACCCTGTACATTATTTTAAAGTTTTTGAATTTTCAGAGAATCCATAGAAGCCAGTTATAGTATTGACGAAGAGAAAATTGTTACATTGCACAATATTTTTAAGGTATAATTTGATTTTTTTTATTTATAATAATTATTTGGTTTCATTAATAATTCTTTTTTAGATTGAAAAATTTGGTCCTAGTCCCGTTAAAGAGATACAGACTCACATCATGGTTCTTTCAAAACTAACTGGTTCAAACCAAAATTTCACTAAAATCTTGGAAATTGGAAGCGGTAGTAGTTCAAAGGCACAATTCGTTCGATGCCAGCAAAGTAAATATACAGTGTGTTTCATAAATACGTTCAAATATATATATATACAGGGTGTCCCAGAAATAAATGCAAGTATTTTAACTGGTAGTATAGTTCAACCCCAGAAACATGCCTATGAGGTTTGTTTCGCAAAAAAAAAATTGAAAATTTAAAATTTTTTGGAATTTTTTTTAGTTAAAAACATAATTTCTTGATAATATGGCAACATAAGTATTAGATTAAATTTACAAGAAAGAAAATCCAGAAAAGATCCAGTGGTTCTCAAAATTTTAACAAAAAAATTCTTTTTTTGGAAATTTTTAAAGTAAAATAACTCCGTTATTTTGGACTTTTTTGAAAAACGATAAGGAGGAAAAATGTTTCTTTTATCGAGATCTACCACCTCTTAAAATACTTGTACTTATTTCTGGGACACCCTGTATATATATTCACATTTTGAGGTATAATGAACAGTTCTACCTCTATGTTGCCACATCAGCACAAAAGTATAAGATTTAACTTCTTTTAACTTTTAATTTATAAGAAACTTTTACGTAAAATTTGTATTATTATTATTATTATTATTTGTAATTACGACTACAATAATTAAAAGATATCAAGATATTTTTGTTTATTTTAGGATCTACCAACATTTCTAATAAAAAAAAGAGACAAACAAACCTATTTTCGTTCATTACTGGTTCAAACGAGAATATCACAGATTCTGGATCACCGAAATCACTATTTTTAAACTGCTCATCCGAACTCTTTGAGTGTGAATTTATTGTATGTTCTCTAGGTCCATTTTCCATTGGTACAATGTATGCTGATATCATTGTTGATATGGTAGTAGATTTTAGAAAAATTGAAGGTAGGTATAGGACCCTGTATATTATAACACCTTTCAATTGTATAATCTATTTGTATTTTTCTATCTATACCCCTTGATCGAAAAAAAACACCGTCATAGTAACCTTTAAAATGATAATATTTGATAATTTTTTTAGGATTAGGAGTAATTCTAGTATTTCTCTCTACAAATAAAATAATAAATTTTGCTCTAATATTTTAACTCACCCTGTATTTCTTTTTTTAGATCTATTACTTTTTAAAGACTCCATCATAGTGTCAACCCAAGCACATGTTGTTATGGATCTTAAAGGAGACAAAAATGTGTAATTTAATTTAATATTTTCTTTAAAAACTATATTCTTGATTATTTAATATGTTTTTTAGATATTCTACCACTGAAATATCAAATATCATTGTTATTTATAAGGATTATAGGATTTCATTGTGGATTCTTATTGGATCTGTGATACTAGGGTTTGTAATTTTGGTTGGTTTGACCATTGCAATGGCTAAGGTAATAAATGATTTATTTATGCGTATGGTAATTTTTGTATTTTTTATATTAAATTTTGATTTTTAGGCTGGGTTTTTTAAAAGAAAAGATCACGAAAAACTAAAACTACTTCGTGAAGAGGTATGCCATATTGTTTGGCTGTTAATATATCTTCTTTTAAACACAGAAATATATAAATAAACACATATTTTAGGCATTAGAAGAAGAAAGAATTATTGAAGAATTGATTGAAAGAGAGTTGGCGAAAGATGAACTAGATGAACAACGAGCTTTCCTTTGTAAAGACACATTTGAAGAAGATTCAGTGGAAATACTTTAATTTTAATAAATGTTTTAAAAACTTATGACAGTTTTTTATTTGTTCTCTATTTATTCAATTAATATTACTTCAAATCCTAAATAATTTCCCTTTTATATTAAATATAAGTTCTGTTTGATAAATTAAGCTAAAAACCAGTTTAACTAACAAATTTTGTTAGTTGTAAGCTGGTGAAAAATACATAAAGCTATATTGCATTGGGATAAGGTGTATTGTTAGTTGCATACACATAGTGAAGCAAATTCACTCTGTGGTTTTTTTCGTTGGCAATCGATTTCAGTTTGACAGTGACAGTTTGGGAGGAAAGATGTCCGTTCACTAGCAGGTGCAGTAGTAAACAAAAGTTTATCGAAAAGGTCAATGTAATGGATTTGACCAGACAAAACGAACAAATGGTCACAATCAAATGGCTATTTTCGAGCGGCAGGTCAGCAGGAAAGTGTTGCTAGACGATACGGAACCCATCACTTGCCAAATTGAGAATTGGCGCACCGTAGACGGTCACACAGTGAGTACCATCGCAATTTTTCAATTAATATTCGTTTAAATGATTCGAGCGATAAACCGGTCGATTATATCTTTAGGAATTCGTTATTAAAGTCCATAGAGGACCGTTTTCCGACCACACCTGGAAGATAAACAAACGTTACAATGATTTTCTTAAGTTGCACCAATCCTTGCAAGTCTCCGGGATCCCCCTGGACTTACCCCCAAAGAAACTTATCGGGAATATGGACCCACAGTTTATCAGCGAACGCCAGAAGGGTTTACAAGTTAGTAAAATAAATTCTACCCATTGAGTTTATTGGTAATTATTTTTATATTGTTTTAGACATATCTAAATAGCGTCCTGATGAATCCTATACTGGTTTCTTCTTTACCAGCTCGATCTTTTGTAGATCCTGCTAATTATTGCCAACCTTTCGGGGGTAAGAAAGCTTTTAAGTTATATTTAACCAAAAAAATCAACATTTTTTCATGTAGAATTGGCTTTACAACATGTTTCTCTGGCTCTACGCGGTGAAGTAGGTTGGGAAGTCGTGGGGCCCTTGGCTGAGATTGGGTGGAGAATAAGAAAGCATTTTTATACACTCAAATGTAAATCTATGCCTAAAGAGGAGCTTATAGGTAGCTGGACTGATTACGGACCTGATAAATACTTAGACGACAAAGATATGCATTCTGTCTTCAAGAGTCTTCATCAAATTCAGGTTAGTACAGTGTTGTTTGTTTACTTATTTTTCTGGTGTTTCAATATTGTAATTTTTGTACATGAAAATCAGCAAAAGTAGCAATTTTTTTACCTTGACTGTAAGTTTGTTGTCTTTTGAAACTGATTTTATATAATATATGTATTTACAAACATTTTTTTATCTACATTATTACTTTGTCTATGATTATTACACAAATAAATGCATGCCAACATTTCTCTGTATCTATTTTAGCATCCATTTATCGAGAAAATCAGCCTGTGCTTGTGCACAGACATTGGAGGACTTGTAGTGAGGAATTTCAATAAAAACGGGTCTCTGAGAGATCTTTTGTGCGGATCCAAGCCCAAGTTGTCGTTTTTGAAAAAATACGGCAATCCAAAGGGCCACAAACAGCTCAGTCCTGATGAAATAGCTTTGTATGGCAGACAGATTTTGGAAGCGTTGAAGTTTTTGCATGAAAAAGGATTTCCTTATGGTAAGTAAGCATTACTATACATTGTAGGCCAAAAATGCCAAAATAATTACTAGAAAAATGTTTTTTTTCTCTGAAAGTCCCTCTATAGGTCTGAAAATTGACATGTAGATGTAAAATCGAATTTTAAAAACTCTTCTCTCTGAGATATTTTTGTCATGTAACCTCACTCGTCAGTTATTTCCGTGACGGAAAAATAATATAAACCCACATTTCCAAAATCATAAATCTCTGCTAACAGTTTATCAATATCCGCCATTTTGACTCCAGAAGTAGTGGGTAAAGCATTTGGGGTACTCCATATTATCTAGGGACTCTAGTTAAGGGGTAATTCTGTAGTAATATAACACTATGACAGTTGTCACGTGACATATATGCATCATATATGTCAATTTTATTGACATATTGAATAGGTTTAGAGTAAATTACTAGTATTATAACAAAAATTAGTACTAAACGTAAATTTAAATTCTGCTAAACTAATGTTAGTGAATTTTGGTATTAAAATTTCAGATTCTTAATTTTTCTGTTATTATACCGGGTGTTATGCTTTGCAGGTCACTTGCAGAGCGGAAATATTTTAATAGAAAACGACAGAATCAAGCTCCTGGATATTGAAAACGGCGTACTGGGCGTACCATCATATTACAGGCCTTACTTTATGCAGCACAAAAGAATCAGTACTTCCGAGGCCATAGACGTATATTGTTTTGGGCACGTCCTGTATGAGATGGCGATTGGGTCGCCCTTACACGAGAGTGTGATGTTGGATGACGTTCCAGAGTGTCCACCCCAAATAAGTAAGAAATTTAAAAGATAGACTAAGCATATACATTGGTTTGTTTTGATTCAACGTATATAAGCAAAATGTAAACAAACCTTTTGTTTATTTACAGTTTTTAGACACTTCTGTTTGACGTTACAATTGTAATATTTTAGAAAAAATCTTGGAATCCATTCTATCACACGACGCTTGCAAGAACGGACTACCCAACATAGAAACCCTGTTATCTGACTCGTTTTTCGCGAAAGTCCAGTTAAATCTAACCTCAAACGATAAAGCGCACTTTAAAATACCGACAGCAGCTAAAGAACATCTCAAAACTGTGGTAACTAAGATAGAAGAGAGGCTCAAGGGTGAACAGAAGGTGGTTAGAAGCCAGAAATTGCTTACCAAAGTGCAGGAAATGATGAGCAGCGAAGAGGAGAGGAAAAAACACAGGAGCAGAATGGTAAGAATTCGACAGCTGTTTTTTTTCGATTATTTAAATGAATTAGGAAGAATAATTAGTTACTCCATAAAAGTAAAAATAGGAAAAAATACTCTCCCTAGATAGGATTAGGGAAGTGCGATACTATCGACTTTTTGAATATCGATACTTCGTTCATAATTAACTAGGTATGCTTTTAATTGAAAAAATCGGAATTTTTTTCAATTTAAATGAATTAGAAAGAAGAATTAATTCATATACTCCATAAACGTTGAAATCGGAAAAAAATGTCTCCAGATAGGATTAGGGATGTAAGATACTATCGACCTTTTGAATATCGATACTTCGTTCATAGTTAACTAGGTCTGCTTTTATTGTAAATAGGGTTAGTTTTTTTAGTTGCTTAAATAAGTTAGAATAGGAAAAAAACGTCCCCAGATGGGTTTAGGGATGTACGGTACTATCGACTTCTTGAATATCGATACTTCATCCATAATTAACTAGGTGGACTTTTTATTGTTTAATTGGCATTTTTTTCTATTACTTAAATTAATTAGAAGCAAACATTAGTTCGTGTACTCTAGCGTAGAAATCGAAAAAAAACTGTCCCTAGATATCGGTTCCTAAATATCGGTGTACGAGACTATCGATACTTTTTTTCGCGTCGATAATTTTCACGTCTTTATATTATGTTGTTTTGTGCAATGTTTTATTTTAAAAATTACTAATTTTTCAATTATTTAACTGAATTAGAAGCAAAAATTAGTTCATGTACTTCATAGAAATAGAAAACCGAAAAAAACTGTCTTTAGTTGGGATTAGGGATGAACGATACTATCGACTTTTTGAATATCGATATTTCGCGCTGATTTTTTTTAAACATTCATACACCTTTCACGTATAAAATCCTAAAAAAAATCGGTTTATGCAAAAATAGTTTTCAAAATAAATAAAATAATGAACTTTGCTCTATTGTTGGCTCACTCTGTATATGTAAAAGACTAAAATTAGTGCTTAAATTGATTGAATATTGAGAATTGTATCTCAGAAATTAAAGAATATAATGTGTTGTTGGTTGAATACTCGGTTTTTATCATGCTGCTTTTGCCTCTAGAAGCAAGAGAAGTTGTTGAAACAGCAAAAAAGCAAGGACGGCACTGGCAAGAAACCCAATGGCGTAGAAAGGTGCGACAGCGTGAACAGTAGCGCCGCTACTTCCATAGGAACATCAACGCCACCTTCAGTCACTGGTAAGTACTACTGCCTTAAATACTGTCAGAAGAATCCATAATTTCCCTGAATAGAAATACTAAAGATGAAATGAAAGCTTTGAATAAAATGATTAGGGAAGGGGCATATCTAAAAATTTAGGTCGAGCGCGGTGGTGTCCTAAAATGGCGGACTTAAATTCCGGTTTATCAGTGCCGTTCTAATTTTATTCAAAACGTGTAAAAATATGATGTAACGTTGTCAATAAACGTTGGTAGTTATTAAAATTGTTATAAAAATATATAATTCTAATAAAAATAGATAAGTTATAATAATTATTTATAACCATAAACATCCGATACGCTAATGAAGCAGATAAGTCAAATTGACGTATCAAAATTCTTTGACAAGTAGTAAATAAAAGCAAAAATGCAAGAAAAAATATTAAATTAGTTAATTTTTAAGTGAATTTCATAAATGATCGGTTTACTACACGTATGTATATTATATAGTCACTTACTAGCGAAAAGTTGTTCCATTATTTCACTCAATTTTTGCCGAGATCTACCGCACGCTACACAACCAACTATTTTAGAGTCTTTTTCGATAAATCGCGATAGTGTCACTGTTAATTTAAGTTCTGCCACAATTTCCATCTAGATTTACTACCTTTATACAACTATCAGTAGTAGAATAAATAATAAATAACATAAAATAAGCTCAGTAAAGACTGACAAATCAGCAAAATTCCAAATCAAATTCAAATGTGTCAAATGAATCGTCAAAAAGAACTGTCAAGGATCCCCACCTCCGTCTACCGTTCACAGATAGCATTATACTCCTTCCTTAATATTTTTATTCGAAGGGTTCAATCAAACGTGCACAATTCAATAAATAGGTTCGACCGTTCCTTCACCTCCCCCGCCACCTCCTCTGGTGTGTCCGGACCCTGTAGTACCCCCAGTACCTCCGCCACTGATCTCTAACGGTACGGAACCGCACGCCGCTGTGCCACAGGCGAAAGACAGGTCAGCGCTATTGAGCGCTATCACTAGTTTCAATAAGTCGGCATTGAAGAAAACGCAGAATAATGATGGGGCAGTGGACATTTAAGGACGAGGACTCAGGTACGAACGACGCGCTCAAGAATATTTAAGAGTATTTGTTTTGAAGGGGTAAATATATGTTTGAATTTTGATTTTGTTGGTACACTGTTTAGCAGTGTTGCCAACTCTTCGCTAAAAATCTGACTAGAATCCTACTAAATCTTTAAAATTGTTCTATAATTTCAAAAAACTCGATTTTTATGATTTAATTACAAATGAATAGTTTTCAGACTTTTCCCCGTACTTGTAGTATAAAGCTTGATTTTCATGCGTCCGTTATCCGTTGATCATCCGTAAATTTTTTACTCCAGCCCGTCAACGGAGGAAGATCGTACGATAACGCATAGATAAATGAAACAAGTATAGATTGGAAAGTGTTTACAATATAAATAAGGACAATGTAAACACTATTTGGCGCTATTCTTGCAACGGTCGCGACCCAAAGCTTTTCATAATTTCGGATCGGTTCGGCTTTTTCCGGAATTATGTCGCCAAATATTATTTATTCAAATTTATTATTATTTTTTTAATTTTATAAATAAAATACAGTGTGTTGCATACAAGAAACTTTATTTTATATAAGAACATGTATGTGAAATACCTATGAAATATTGGAAACCGACGTTATGCCACGATCCACGATGGTTTTTGCAGTTCACAGTTCACAACACAGTTGTTTAGTTGGTTTTTTGCCACTTTTTCACAATTATCACGGGTTTGAGTAAGTAAAATTTAAATTAAACTCGCAAAGTAAGCCATAATTACTTTCAGAATGGACCCTTTTCGGTATTTTTTCAACGAGGGCGGTTTAAATTTTGAAAGATTTTATAATTTTTGAAGATTCTGACTTCGACAAGAGAAAATTATTTCTGTTATTGTTTGCGGTTGTTCTTAGCAACCGCTATAGCAGCGCCAGATCGCGTACAACGGTCGCGACCCAAAACAATTATTATTTTTTTGACGGGCTCTCCAATCTAAATTCATTTCCTTTATCTCTGCGCTAACGGACGTGTCGACACTTTTTTGACAAATTTAATCTAACCTTAATAAAAATATAATAGTACAAGGGCTAGCACAGTCGCCGTCTGGACAACGAGAATTTTAAGACAACTGGTTCTTTAATATATCTTTTGCTATGTTGCCTTTAATATATCTTTTGCTATGTGCGTTCACTACTACGCATCACATCTGTACAGCGCATCCCCCGTGTGTTTTATGGGATTCCTCGTTTATGGGTAGAGATACAATGATGCGATTTTCCCATTACTTTGCTACTTTTTTATGAAACTAAATATGCTACACATAGGTATATCCTAGCCTCCTTAGTTCCTGAAATACAGGGTCAGTTTGTGATGCTCAGTAGTGAACAGATGTGATGCGCAGTAATGAATGTAACATCTACCGGCAGCCAGACACAAAAAAACAGGACAGAATTATTTTAACTTACTAGCTTTAGTAGGATTCATACTGAGTTGGCAATACCGCTGTATAATGTAGTGTGAATTGACTGCGTTTGAAAAGCTCAGTGTTGCCAGAATTGAAGAATTTGCAGTGAAATTTTGTCAATTGAAGGGCTTAAGGTTTTTTTATCCAAAAAGAAGACAATGTAAAGGTGTCTGTCCAAAAATTACCAGAAATAAGTTTTTTAAAAATTTTCTTCTAATTATAAAATAAATAAAATACAGGAAATTTGGTGGTTTTTCAGAAGATCTTGATTTTTTTGTGAAGTTGAAGGACTATGAGGGTTTTTTAAGGCTTTGTTGAAGAAATTCGCTCGAAATTTTCTGGCAACACTGGATAAGCTACAGTTTGGGTAATTTTATATTTTTTGACCTTAGACCGTGTAACAAATAGACACAGGACTTTCCTCAATACTCTTTAGCAATTATTTATTATTTGACATCATTCCATGGAATATATTTTTCTATAATACATCTACTCTAAATGTCTTTACGAAATAACACAAAATAATAACAAAAAAGTGTATTCCAAGTTAAAAAAAACTGTTGAATATTCTTGAGCCTATTTTTATTTGTTTTTTTTTATACATATTTACCTCTTCTATCCTTTTTTTGGTATCTCTTATACTCACAATATAACTAACTAAAATACACCTCAAAAATTTACTAAAATCAAACGTCTCCATGTTTAAACTAATATAAGCCTCGAGAATGTATTTTACTTAGTTATTTTTTCGATTTCCTTTAGATCGTTTGAAATTTTTAAACTATGAAAGATCTGAACTATTGGGGCCATTGATATTTTCCTGTCTTGTCTCGGTATTTCGTAGAAAACTTCGTCTTGTACATAATATTAAGTACCAAAAAAATAAAACATCCTGTATGTAATACTATTAAGAAATTTTCCCTTTTAAACTACTTAAGCTGGTCTTTAAATCGAATTTGGAAAAAATACCGTCAAAACGCCAATATTTTCGTTAAGGTACATCAGAACTACTTTTCAAAAATATCGATTTTTTTATTATTTCTATAACATTACTACTTGTAGCCAGTATGTGTGTATTGTTAAACGTTTCGTTATTTACTTTTTTATGCGCTTATTATAAAGTGAATATCTTGGACCGTATATACTTTCCTGGATAAAGCTATAACCCTACTATTATGACGTCAGCATTGTAGTCGTTCTTTATTGTTCTATCTCTGTCGAAAGCTTGCCGTTTTCTATTTTGTTTCTTTTATTTTTCGGCAGCGATTGCATTTTTTTTATTAAAAAAAAGTTTTACTCTACTTAATTTTAATATTAATTGGTTAAGTATTATACAGGGTGCTCGTGAAAGTATTATATACTGAAAACGGCCTTTTATAAATGTGGTATAGCTGTATCCACGATGTATATACGGTAAATGTATTTTTTTATATTTATAAATGTATTTCCTTAAAAAAATTATTTTTTGATTGTGCCAACAATTTTAATATACAACAAATCACCAAAAAAAAATTGTATATAATACCATACTAGTATAAAAGTATATATTTTTTCGTTATTAAAGTAATACTAAATTATATTTTAAGGAAAAAAACAACATAAGCTAGTCATTAACAGCTAAATCTATTTTAATAATGTTTTGTGTGTAAATGTCTCTGTACAGATAATAATGATGACCTATTATTATTATTATTAATCGATATAAAAAATTCCATTATTTGTATGACTATTATTAGAAAATAAATGTACATTTAAGCATATAATATTTTTTATATATTTTTTTCTATAATTCTGTGTTTTTAAGTAATTTCCAGTGATTTAAATTCATATCATATACAGGGTGATCTACTTTTTAGTATTTTTACTATTTGTATAGGGTGTTCCATTTTCGTGTGTCTTAAAAGGTTTTTCGCTTATTAGTAGAGGTACTAAATTATACCGTATGATCGAATAAAAACGGCGTCGGCGATGGCTATGAAATGAAGATCGCTGTTATTTTATATGTGAAATTATATGGGAAATGTCGTCGATCGTCATTTCCAAGCCAACTGGACGCCGTTTTTTTTTCGATCATACGGTATTATGCGGTTTTCACATTACTTGCTACATTTTAGGGTTCCGTACCCAAAGGGTAAAAACGGGAACCCTATTACTAAGACTTCGCTGTCCGTCCGTCTGTCACAAAGGTCTATCTTATGAACCGTTATAGCTAGACAGTTGAAATTTTTACAGATAATGTATCTATGTTGCCGCTATAAGAACAAATACTAAAAACAGAATTAAATAAATGTTTATAAATAAAAAAGTGCTTTCACTAAACATTATCTTTTAAGTAAGAATTTTACATAAAATCTTTCAAGTGTCGAGTGATTAAAGCGTTAGGACTTTACGCTGCTATGACGTTGGAGCCGTAGTAAGTAGTGATGGGAATAATCGAATTATTTTCACCATCGAATAATTACTAATAATTCATATTTCACAATCGAATTAATAATTCGAATTATTTAGTAGTATTATAAATTTAACCTAAAAATAAATTCGTCCCAGATAGTGCTTGTCTAGGGGCTATTTTAAATAAATTCTGAACCATTGCCATACCTATATTCTATCACTGAATAAAAAATAAAAAAAAATATTCTTTATTCAATGTATTCTACTGTGCCGAAGCCGTTTAATAAATTAAACCATAATTTAAAGTTTTAAATTTAAAAGTGCCGAGTTTATGATTGTTTCAATTCCTATTGAAAAAAGCTCATATCTAAAATAAAAGCTTCTTCTAAAACGATATAAGTATGTCCTTGTTTACGTGCGGTTCGTATTTCTTTTTATTTTATCAGTTGCAATCAATAATTATTTAGATAAAAGAAGAAAATTAATTTTAGTGTTGGTAGTTTAGTGTTTAGTGGTGAAATTTGGCTGAGATGGAAATGAACCAAATAATAGTAGTATTCTTTCGTTCTGAACGAAATGAAAATTTTCACTTAAACTGATTTATTCCTACGTGGTATCTTCTTTCTCAGCCTGGTTCCATCCAGTGTTGGATATAGGCCTCTTCTAGGTTTTTCCATGCTTCGCGATCTCTAGCCAATCTTATCCATTGTCTTCCCGCCACTGCCCTGACGTCATCGACCCATCTCTTTTTTGGTCGGCCCACACTCCTGGTTGTTTCCCTAGGTCTCCATAGGATTACTTTTTGGGGCCATCGGTCTGAATCCTGTCTTGCCACATGTCCTATCCATTGCCACTTCAGACTTGCCACTCTTTTAACGACATCTATTAATTTTGTTTTTTGACGTATGTGGGTATTCCGTATTTTTTTCTCTAATATTGACTCCCAACATGATTCTTTCCATGGCTCTTTGTGCTACTCGTATTTGTTCTGCTGTTTTTCGAGTAATTGACATAGTCTCTAAGCCATACGTAAGCACAGGTAGAATGCAGCTGTCGTAAGCTTTTTTCTTTAGGTTCATGGGCACCTTTTTATCCTTGAAAATATTGCTCATATTTCCAAATGCTACCCATGCCAAATGGATCCTGCGTTTGATCTCCGTATTTTGGTTTTCCTTGCCCAGCTTGATTTTATGACCTAAATATATATATAATGGTCTACGTTTTCAATAATAACGTTGTCAACGGTAATGTTATGGATATTGTTGCTCATTATCTTGGTCTTTTTCAAATTCATTTTAAAGCCAATTTTCTGGGATTGGTCATTTAGCTCATTTAGCATGGTGTTTAGTTCTTGAATGTCGGTGCTCAGCAAGACAATATCGTCTGCGAACCTCAGATGGCTAAGGTGTACCCCATCGATGTTTAGACCTCTATTTTCCCATTCTAATTTCTTGAAGACATTTTCCAGTGCCAGTGTAAATAACTTGGGAGAGATGGTATCTCCTTGTCT